GAATATTCATCGTCATGACCCAGTAAAAGCAGTGGAATGTGGCATCATTCCAGCAATAGTCAATATGCTCAGGTATGTGGTGCTATGCATGAATGTGTGTTCAGTCATCACAATTGGTAAATTTGACATGGTTGGATTGATATGACATGACATGAATACAGGAGTGTCGATCAAGAAGTGATTGATCAAAGTATTGAAATTATCCATAATTTTTGCAACTATGTAAATTGTGAAGTGATTTCAGCCGAGTTTATAAGGTCGGGTTTGATTCAAACGTTGAACGACTTGTATATCAGATACAGCAACGACTCTGGACTAAAAACACGCATAATCAGCATGGCGGGATCAGTTGCATCCCAAATGCGCGACTTTCCTGTATCGCTTGTACGATCGTTGGTTTTTGAGCAATTGACGATATCGATGTGCAATCTTCGTATGTGTGACTCTTTGTACCTGTTTAATAATGTCAACAACATGATTCAGAAATCTACAAACAAGGCCGAGATGATCAAGGTGTTTCAAGATTATGGAATTATGCAGCAACTCAACACTATTATTTCGCGTACAGATGTAGATTTGTGTGACTATAATGGTAGTAACACTAGTATTGTAAAACTACTCAAAGCATTTGCTGATTTTGCCGACAATCATCCCGACAGTTCAATACGTACCGAGTTGGATCAAGGCATGATATTTGAAAGTTTAATGGTCATTGTAAAATCGGATACTACTCACTACATGAACAAAAGGGCTGCTGCTCAGACCATTGGAACGTATTTCCAGCATCGGGTTCAGACTGCTAGTTCGAGCATTCAGCCATACAAGGACAACGCCAAAATTGATATGAGTTTTGGAATGGCCGGATATGTACATGGGGAGGTACGCACACTTGTCGAGATGCGGTATATCCAGTATCTGCAATGTATACTTTGCAAACCCATGTGGTGGATCGATATCACAAACCAGCATATTGTGGAGCAATGGAAGGCTGACTCACTCGGTCAGAATATATCACCATCAACATTTAATCTTGCATTGGAACAACTCGGGGTTTTTGTCGAGCAGCTTGTTTGTAGTGGCAGTGATGGATTTGGCACAATTGTCCCAGGACCTGTTGAACTGACGTATATACTGGACAATGGCATACCTGATAATGTATATACGCGATTGATGACAAATGTATCGGATCTTGAACATGGATCAAATCACAACACTGGTCAAATGGTGCACAATCTGATTGATGCATCAATGTACAGTGTTGTATATGGACAAACGATGATTGTACCACTGAGTATACGACTCAAATACACCACAATGGTACCATGCGATATATTACTATCGACTCAGCTTGTTTCAGATACGCCCATCATTGAAGGCGATTCCAAGTTTATATCATGCAGGTTTCAATGGCTTCCGAGTGAATTCCGTGTCGAACAGGATGGCAGTGTGACCATCAACTCATACATCAACAATCTGAATCCGATATGGCATCGAGACATGTACAAATGCATTGCCAAAATATTCAAATGTTTTGTCTCAATGTTTGAAAGTCTGTTCAGAACGATGGATCCAATGTTCAAATATATTGATCTTCGTAATGGCATAAATGGATATGAATCACCAAGCCAGTCAGACTATGGTGGTATGGAATCAGACACTCGAGTCATTCGTCCCGTGTATGTACCAATACTTCCGGAACATTTTGAACCCAATCGTGAATCAGCAAAGCCAATATCACTGCGTGGTCGTAATCTGCAAGTCATTGTAAAACTCACCAACATTCAACTGACACCATCCAAACCTAAATACGACGAGGGAAACTGGCACATTGAAGGTTCAGCTAACGAATCGATTGTTGCAACTGGACTGTATTACTACGACGTGAAAAATATCACCACACCCAAACTCGATTACCGCGAGGCTGTTGATCGTTTTTATCAAGTAGCATCTGATATGTATTGGAAAGATGTGTACGGCATTATTAATCGAGAATCACGACGCAATCAGTATATAGGATCGCTTGAATTACCAAATGGTCGGTGTGTAGTTTATCCCAATCGATACCAACACAAAGAACAATCATTTGAACTTGCAGATCCAACTCAACCAGGACACTGCAAGATTCTGACATTTTTTGTAGTGAATCCAGCATGTCGGATTGTTTCGACTGCGCATGTGGCTCCACAACAACCACAATGGTACAACTCGAGTCTTGACAAGACACCCATACTGCCTGAACTGTGGAATGATGCCACGCAGTATATTCAAGGTGTTCAATCACCAACTAAAGCCAAACACTATCGAGATGAATTGACAAGTGACCGAACTCAAATCACAGCAGCATACAACAAAAAACTATATGAGCGGGCGTATAGTGATTGGTGATTGTGAGGTTGTGATTTTACAACAATGAATTGCAATGCCAGTCGGATCTATGCAATTAAATGAATTAAATGAATTGAATAAATTGAATCAATCATGTCAATCATGACAGTGACTGTTGATTATATTGACTGATTGTGTACAATTGATTGATACAAGTGATATGGATGCATCATTCGGTGTTGTTGAATCAGATCATTGCTTGATTCTGTCAATGTGATCAAATGGATTACTACAAAACTGTACATGCTCAAATTGAATCAAGTATTGAATCGAGTATTGGATTGATATTTACACACAACCACAATTACAACCACAATTGCAATCAGCACAGTCTGAATATTAGACATTTGAACATCACATATCGAGTTGTGGATAAATGCGAGTTGGCATATTGGACTGTTTTTGTAGTTTATTAATGATTTGATTCATGACTGTTTGAATTCAAGGCTCAATATGGATTACAACTGGATTGTCGTTGTTTCCATTTGGAATGACAAATCTGTCAATGTGTTGATTGATTGCTAGTTCATTGATCAATTCATTGATCAGTAATTGTCCAAATAAGTTGTATCCGAGTCGAGTTGTCAATCAGGATACCGTAACCTGACATCCAAACGATTGTCCAAATGATTGTTGAAACCATCAATGATTGCCAGAATAAGCTTTACGACTCGACTGCAATAACCACCACAATCATGGTCAGGTTAGTATGTTGATCCGTTTACAAAGTTACAATACTGCAACAGATTCAACATACTCTTGAAAGTGCTGCACACCACATGAATCCAGCAAACCCACTGATGAATTGAACCAATCAATTGACCAATGACATGACTCGATATTGGACATCGAGTTGCACACAGTGGGTAAAAAGTCACCGACATGTTCAGATAGTCAAACCTTGACTACAGGTTGATATCATCACCCAACACACCAAATACAACACACAATCTGGACGACTACTGGATCATATTGTGGATATCAATCAACGGAGTTACTGGTTTCAAACAACCATGTACAATCATTTACAGTCATTACAGGACAATATGATACATTTATGAATAGCATGTTGTAATCAACACGAGTGAAGTTGTGCAATAGACTTGTCATGGTTTGCAATGGTTTGATATGAACATGATGACTCGGACTCTATTCAGTCGGATCAACTCGACTACAATTGGTCGTGTATATTATGATTAACACGAACAATTGTAGTTGAACTCGAATACAGATTGACTGTTGAATCACAATGCGTGGTATCAGCAACATGATGTGCTATATAGTGGAATGTATACGCTAACCTGACATGTGTCATGTAGTGTGTATTCGATCAATATTGGTATTAGCAATCAACAAGTCATACAATGTTTGTGTTCGAGTGATGCAATGGAGTGGAATGAAATGAGTGCATCAATCCAGAATACGAGTCAACCATGACATATGATCATAATGTGTGGATTATTATAAACCTGGCACTAATATACATGTACATGAGTCTTGGTGTCCTTGCCACATTTAATTACGTTGGGTTCTGTATAACACTATATGTGAAACTACTCTGAATGTTGAATAAACGACCCAAGAATCAAATCCTATGAGACATTGCTAGTGTATATCTCTTGTAATGTGAGAGTGGTTTGGTCCAGACTGATACCACACAAACTGTTGGTCTGCGTGTACACTGACAAATCGCTGTTGATCAATCGCATGCCCACAGATCCAACTACATATACCAGTCGAGTTGCATCAGACGCAGATGCACTGTCTGGATTAATCGAGAACATCTCACATTTGTCATGGATGCATTGGGTGGTCGAGTAAACGGCACTGGTTGATTGATGCGGTGATCTTGCCATGTTTTCAACAATCATGAGTTTGGTCCAGTCACCACTGCAGAGACTGCAAACACTAAACAGGATCTGGTTGAGTACCGTGATTGGGTCTTATTTTTGACTGTATAATGTGTGAATGTGCTGATAATATTAATGATTGTCGATCAATGTCAAACACAAATACACCAACTAAAACAGTACAATGATCAACATTCATCCATGAAAATCAAATTTTATTGTAAGCTAAATCATACATGCAGTTGTAGAATGACAATTGAATCGGTCGAGACCAGTCCAGATTAGCATTCAAATCAATCGGATGATTCATCATCTTCGGATAGCTCTGCAAGTGATCCAAGCTTATCCATAGATTTGGAAAAATCTCTTTGTTTAGTGGAACCAGATCCATACGGTGTCTCTGGTGATAGTTGTGATTCTCGACGTTTTCGTTGTTTTCGTTGTGTATTAGCTGTTTGGCCAAAACCCTTTTTGCATCCTGATGATTGTCCTTCACATAATGTTTCGAGGTAACCACCAACGGTAGAATGTGAGAGGATAAGCAAAAACTGCTTTTCAAGTAATCCAACATTGCAAGGCCCTCCGAAAACGAGCTTCACGAGCTGTATTTTAATGACCTTCAGCTGACCTTCAAGACGAGTACTCTCAGCTTTGCACTTTTCATCCTCTTTTTCAAAATCTAAATATAGGAAATATTGGCCCTCGAGATCAAGCATATACTTTTCCATTTCATTATTGTGATCATGACTTGAATCCTCATTTTCCAGTTCAAGTTTCAAATCGGTAACCTTGTTTTCCAGTTTCTTTACCAGTTTCTTATGCTCGAAAAATTGAGATTCTATCAAGTCACATACTTTTTTTTGTTTAGGACAATCCTGCTTTAGTTTTGTGTATTTTTTGAGCAGGTCCTTGATTTTGTCTGGAAGTGAAGTAAGACCATGTAGCCCTATACCGTTTACATTAGGAATTGACAAAGGGCTAGATTCAGTACTTGTAGTCGCACTGGGAATGGCTGTCAAAGTGCTAGATTCAGCATTTGTAGTTTCACTGGGAATAACTGTCGAGGTGCTAAATTCAGCATCTATAGTCGAACTGGGAAGAGTTGGATTGGCTGTAGTAACCGAGCAAGCGACCAAAACTGATGACAATACAGCGATCGAGAATTTCATTGTATTGGTTTGGCTGAGCAAGTTATAGATGGTTTTATATGACAGCTCGGTTGTGGATTGTATTTATATCTGTTGTTGGATGGATAGTATTAAAAGCGTGCTTCTTGACTGACCGTCCTAAGGACTTGGCTTTATTGTCAGGGTTGTTGATTTGTTATTGTCAAACTTTGGAGGGATATCCCTTTATATGGTGATCCTCAATCTTGGTTAAGCCGTCACATATGTGTTCAAGCATCGTATAGTTAATTATGTAGGTTCTCATCCGTTTATACCCTAAAAAGGGTTAGTGTGCCACAATATAATAAAATAAGCACATGCCAAGTAAAATTATATGTAACTGAGCTGACATCCAATTATTAGCTGGTCATCAATATGTGCTGTGATGTTCCGTGTTTTTCAATATGTGTTGTGGTTGGCATGATTCAAACATGTCGTGGTTTAGTGATATTTTGCATTCAACTCGACACAATCAATCATCACTGCATATTACTCAGTAATTCAATCAATCAATTGAATCAATACAATGTAGTTCATGTTGCAATCACAATGTCACATTGATGATCAATGACTTGCAACTGTTGTGTTGACATTGTATATTGTGTGCTACTATATAGTTGTATCAACCACACATTATGATCATATGTCATGGTTGACTCGTATTCTGGATTGATACACTCATTCCATCACTCGAACAACTCGTTGTATATCAGCTGCATATACCAATCACTGATGCAATTGATGATGATCGACTAGTCAATCAATTGGATATCAACGGCAATGTCAGTTTATTACTACATGAATACTTGCAGCTGTGGTCTGAGTTCAGTCAGTAATATTGGTCAATTGTACTGCAACACGGTCAATGGAATGCTGGTGATTTGTTGTGCTGCCTGACTGCGTTTATGGTGTCGATCAATGTCAGCAGTAATGCATTTGTATTGGTCATGACTTGTGTGCAATGATCTGGCAGTATTGTGATGTATGATATCATGATCAATGCAAAATATCATTTGATCAAGCACGGCAATTGTGATTGTGATTACAGTCTAGAATTGGATGTGGAATACAATCACAATCGCAATTGGCAGGATATTGGGTGACTTTGAAATAACCATTATTGGTAGTTCAACCTGGATATACACCAAGAACAACCAACTGTCGAATAGTTGTCAATATGTGAATAGACTATATTTGAATCTGCGTGATAGCGAGTCATTGGATAACCTGATTTATATACAAATTGACCAACAAATCACAAATGGGATCAATTTAAACACTGCACAAATGGATGCTGTTCACAAAGTATGACCAACTGAACAATCAGTCAAGTATTTGGTATACAGTGACAGTGTATGCTGTAATAATGGATTGTAGGTGTGATGATAACTATCCATAATCAAGGCAATAATCTGACACTATCTGATTACTGGATACATTACTGCAATCAGAGAAATCAACACAGAATATTGCAGAGGCCAACAACTAGTTTTATTGCAATGTTTGCATTTCTTTTACTAGCTCATCATACAGTGGTTTATGATCTTCATGCATTCTCCCTACAAATCTTGCATATTTCAGGAGTGTAGTAACTATTTCCATGCCAATCGCCAATACCATAATGTTTAATTTGTAGAAAAGGAATTGAATGCTCTGTTTATTGTATTCACAAATGGAACATGGAATAAAAGCTGAATGCCCAAAGCGGCATATGCATCTGTCTCAATAAACTCTACATTCTCTACACTTGCCCAATTTCATTATATGCTGAATTCTCAGATGTTTAGTGCAAGAATTATTCACTTGCATGACAGTCATCGTTATCATCAAAACCATTGTGTTGCCAATACATGAATCAACGTTTTGATGTTTGCCTCAAATTTTATTCGAGCCATCTTGACATAATGAAGCGATCAAGTTTAGATCGTTTCCAAGTAATGCATCAACAAATCTGACATGCATTCAATCAGGTTAGTGCGGTCTGACTTGAACGTAACCAAAATATGCATTGTTTACACATTGGACAACAATACATTAGCCTATCTACATTCATGGACAGTACTGAGTGTAAGGATCAATTCAGGATTGTCGACTAGAACCAATATGAGAATAACTCCGTGTCTCATCTTTGCACTAGCATATATATGGCACATGTCCAGTTGTATTAATGCAAAGGCTAATATTAAAAATTAGTCTAAATAAGCCATTCCGACCAATCTTGGGTATGTGATCCCAATCAAATCATTTTCGACGAGCATCCAACAAGGATTTAATTCAGTCAAGATTGATGAATCGCTTGCTCAACATCAAAACTGCTTTAAACCCAAAAATGCCATTTCAAGCAACAGGTTTAAAATGTGTATGAAAGGAGTTCAAGTCAATCACCACACATGACTGTTTAAAGTGAGTTCCTGTTCAAACCAAACGATACTACACGGTGTTCATTATATACTATTCATGTCATTCAAATATGCGAGTTTGCTGACAAGATTCAACACGTGGTAATAGTTTAATAGATGTTACTGTATGCACGCAGTACTTTATAGTAAGAGTAAAATATATAGTTATGCTCCAATGTATCTGTACAGGTTGACCACACAATTGTCTCGATAAACCATTACAAGCGCAAACTCGGAATAATATTGTCACATGGCCCATTTAGCAATCATTCCATTTAGTATTATCGCTAGAATATTTGAAAATTCCAATATTAATATTGATTGAAACTATCGATGCGTTGCAGACGACTTGCGTGTATGTGTTGTCGACATGATTTCTTGAATATTGGTTTCCAGCACCTAACAATCATATTTTCAACAAGTTTAAAATACTGGAGAATGTTTAAATATTCTCGTGAAAACAAACTTTATCAAGTCAGATATTTACCAATCCACCTGATATGACTTCACCAAGAATCTGGGATACATCCTCTGGTCTAAAAATCTAATCGGTCATATCAGTTAGTATCACAAAATTGAAAAGTCATCAAAGTTTTCAATACAACCCAATATAGCTTACCAGATCCAATTCGCACACATTGACAAACGTTCTATCCAAAGCTTCAACAAACACCTACACAATCAAGAATAGATGCACTGTCATTTGAATGTGCTTGCATAATGTCCAGACATACTTGAATGTAATAGATAGTGTACCTGAATCAAATCCAAAATTCCTACAAAAATAATTCATATCTGTTAATAAAAACCTGCCAGGAAACTCGGTTTTACAACACTTGACAAACGAGTTTACCTAGTTCGCTCTCTGATGCATCTGCAACAAATACAAAATAAAGTGCTACAGAGATTGTTTCATATCACAACTATCAGCAATGAAAATAAAAGCACCAGCCGTCATCTCGTTGGAAAAATACACATACTTGCATAATGCTACATCAAAAATACAAAGTGCTGAATGAATACAAGCTATTTATATTTAAAAATAGGGATCCATCTAGCAACGATAAGCTTACCCTGTATATAATGAGAACATCCTCGCCTAGCAACGCACCACCGCTTAGAAAGTTGCATACAGTGTTTGGACTAATACATAATGTTTGCAAACCAGTCAATCTAATCAACAAGATCCAAGACATGACATTTTACAATGCAATCTATGATTCAAATCCTAATAAATCTTACCGCTTGTGTACTAGTCTATGAACTTCTTTGAGAAGACATTGCTGTCGACCAATATCCTATAATCATTTTTTCAAATTAAAGTTGGTCATCCAAGTGCATTCATCGATATTCTAGATGGATGCAAAGATATGTACAGGCCAATTGGTGTTGCAGTGGTCCGTGTGAATCAATGGCATTCAAGAATAATCAAACCACACACCATCTGTTGATACCAGTTCATTAGTCTGGGCTTGCCTTGATTATTGAATATAAGTACTGCCTTGATCATGATAATCCAGTCACGCAGATTCGATGCGTTGGATTGTTAAACTCGTAAAAGTGAAATTTAATCACTCATCACGTGATTGACATTGAGAATATTAGCTTTAGGTTGGCAGTTGGCTGATTTGGTGGTTTTAAACCAAATTCTCATCAGAAAACATTGAAATGACATTCAACGGATCTCCGTTTGATGCACAAATAGTAAATGACAGGTAGTGTGACAATTGTCTTGCATCCACCAGTGTTTGTCCATCGATTCCATCAGTCTAGTCGCGACTGAAATAACTCGATTACGAATTGCATTTTACTAAAATATAATAGGATCGAAGGAGATGGAATGTACACTTTTCCAGATGGCAATGTCTACGCTGGACAATTCAAAGATGGCCAGTATGTATACTCGATTAAACTGCAACATCATATTTCTCAAGCTGAAAAAACAGTTTGCTACTTGCTATGAATTATATCGACTACAAACCCATTGTGTAGGTTTCATGGATCAGGAACCATTTATTTTTGTAATGGTGGAAAGCTGAGTGCAACCTGGACATACGGTGTTGCGTCCAATGTAAGAACATTGACTGTGATCTCAAATGCATCATCACAATTGAACTTGATGAATAACTGTCGTATTGTTCAGACTCAATACACGTTTGCAGATGGATTAGTCTATGCCACACAGGATTGGACATATTGCACTAGCCAAGATCGTCGGTTTTACTCGGAGCGAGTAAATGGATTCATTCCAGGACATCCACAATTAAGCAATGATCCAAACGAAAAACTAGTTTTGCCAATCATGACAAAAGATAAAGGGTATTGTTACTATGCAAAATCGGATGGAATGATTCATCCATTTGATTGCAAAAGTCAAGGCAGGAGTCCTGATGATAGCGAAATGCAGTGGATATCAGCCAGAATATTGACATGATTGGGTTGAGTCGAGTAGATTGAGACTTGAAATAAATGATGGTCAACTTCAAATAAAAATGACGAGCAAATCGACAGATTCGAGTATCCATAAATTGTTGGACTTGGAAACTCTTCAAGCACAAATAATAAATGTACGGATCATCGTCTAGCCAAAAACATGTCCGTAGTCTCAAGGATATGGACAATAACAGGAATAAAGACACGGACACTCTGCAATCCTCCAGCCATCCTCATCTCTCTGCCACCAGTCCAATTCCTCTCAGTCGAGAACTTCTTGGTCAATTCCAGGTTGCCAAAGTCTTCAAAGACAACTCTCGCCATATCACATCTATTGACTTTGATGCTGATGGATACAGCTGTGTTACTGCTTCCGAGGATGAATCAATTCGGATATATGATGTGCGCAGTGGAAAGTAAATACTGTTTCTTGGATGACTTTATCATGTCGACAATCCATTCGCTACTCGGATTAATGTTTCGAGTATTTCAATAGGAGCCGTAATTGTATATACAGTAAAAAGTACGGATGTGCCTTGGCTCGATTCACTCATCGATCAACCAATATTATTTATGCTTCTACAAAAGAAGACGGTGAGTCGTAGACGGCATCACTATTGGATCTTTCAACATCAACTATCCTGACCAAGTATTGACTGTTCACCTTGTATGATTGGAGTTATTAGACGCACTGAGGTACATGTCACTGCATGATAATAAATACCTTCGCTATTACAAAGGGCACAAAAAGCGGTAGGATTGATGTTGTAAAGCCTTTTAGGCATAGATCCATAGCATACAAATCCATCCAACTCATCATTTTGTAGTGTCGTGTCGCTTGTCATGTCGCCACAAGATGATAGTGTTCTTTCTGCAAGTCTCGATGACACGGTCCGGTTCTGGGATTTACGATCTCCAAACTGCCAGGTAACACTTTGATGTGTAATACGCAGCGTTTGCTGCATTGTCGAGACTGATGGTCATCAGCTAATCAATGGACATTCCACCTGCTCAACTATTACAGGGACTCATGCACACTGACGGAGGTCAACCGTGCTTGGCATTTGATCAAGGTGGATTCATCTTTGCAGTTGGACTTGGTTCCTGTAAAATTCTCCTTTACGATATCAAAGAATACAACAAGGTATTTTTGATTCGCGTTATGCTAATCCGCCTGTTATGTATAGGACTGGTCTATTTTGCTCATCTGTATTGGTATTGTTATGTAGGGACCATTTGCTACTTTTCCCATAAAAGATCCAATTACTTTAGATTTTGCTGCAGAATGGACACACATGTCATTTTCAAATGATGGAAAATTGATTCTCATCTCAACCACATCTAATGTCATGTACATTGTTGATGCATTCAATGGAGGAATTAAGCACCGACTTACGGGTCATATGAATCAGATGGGCATGGCATTTGAAGCATGCTTCACACCAGATGCGGAGTTTGTAATCGGAGGTACTATTTGTATAGTCAGGATGCTGCATAGATCTGATTCAACGTGAAAACCTTTTATTAATTTATATTACCGTGATTTGACTCGATAGGATCACAAGATGGAAAAATACACTATTGGGAAGTCGAAACTGGAAACCATATTCATGCCTTGGAATGGCATCACGAGCCACCAAAAGTTGTTGCATTTAATCCAAAACATCTCATGTTTGCAAGTGCCGACACAAATCTAGTAAGTTTCAATGGTTTAGTGGGGTTTTATTTAGTTTGTGAATAGATCTGATTTGTTTTGCATGACTTGGACTGCTATCTATTTTACAGGCTTTTTGGATTCCATCAATGTAAACGGATACTCGATGACTTTCAGTGCATATTTTTAAACGTGTTGGGTTTTGGCTGTAATAAATACCATTATTTAGCATTCACTTCATTTGAGATTTGAACTGTAGGACATATATAGCAATGTGTAATTTGACTGAGCTGAAATCTTGTTTTTGTTTATGCAAGTTTGGTATCTCATTTTCAGAAACAATGTTTTCGACGTTCCTTGACCATCATTCATTTGTAAATGCGTTGTGGTCTGAGATTTGGGTATTGATTCAAATGATAGATATTGAGGATTCCATGCTGGTATTTTGACTTTATTGCAACACTATGTTCACACTGGATGGATTCGTGAGTGGAAATGTTAAATCCATGATTATCCATTCATCTTAGGTTTGTAGAATTCATCAAGAATTGATTGTGCTGATGTTCCATGTAGTTGGGTCAATACTAACAGGTTTATTAGTCGATCCTGCATGACAATTCTCAGTCTGAACACCACATTGTCTCTACAATACAAGTGCATTCATCAGTTTACTCAGTGCAATGATTGCATGATTGTTTTCAAAACAACATTTGTGGGTCAATCCGATACACTCCATCATTAGACGAGTGTAATACGTTTATCATGTCGCGTAGTTTATCTGAACTGCATAACTAACCACCCAATGCATAACTTCCTATTGCTAATGGTGTTTTGTTAGATTCATTAACCACCATACTCCAATCATCATCAATCACAACATTTATGCCTACGCAGTTGATTCACTTGTTTTCACAAACTATATATTTCACTTTTAATGGTATATATTACTAGCTACGTTGTAATGGCGTGTCTCGATGACTTTTCAAGAAATGTATGTGCTGTTTATTGCTAGACTCATGACAGTCTCCACTACCACTATCCAATCTAGACATAAATATATAATCAACATCGTAGTATACAGTAGTCGTTGTATACTACTGTGGCATCAGTGTGTAATAGTACGAGTAGAGGTCCAACGGTTAAGCATTCAACAACCCTATTTTATTTAGTTCGCAATAATCCATTCAAGAAATATCCAATTTTTAGAAATCAGCCATATCTCCCTCATGATCATCCAGCTCTCCTTCGACAATATCTTGAGCAAGCTTCCGTTCTTCAGCTAAAAGTGCATTTGCCTCTTCAAGATCCTTGAGATGGGCATCATGGGGGAAACGAAGCGCCTTGATTGAGTAGTATCATCAATAGAAATTTAAAATTCATTCTGTATTGATGGAATAGGATACACATTGAACAAGACCATTCTAATCAAGCAAGCATATTTACCATGACGGATTCGTTGTGCAGGCCAAGACAAAAGCTAATGCGCTGGTGGAATGCATGCTGAGGCTCATTTGTCGAATACAGATCCACATTTTCCTATTTTTAAAGATAGTTAGCATGAGCTGTCATCACAATCAACTACAGATACATGTCATTCAAATACACTCAATAGTAACTTACATTAGACTTCATAAATCCCTTTTCATGATCAATGGTGGCATCAATTACTCCATCGCGGATCGACTAGATGGATACCAGTAAGTGACGGTTTACAATACACTTTAAAAAATCAAGCAGTACAATGTCCTCACCTTGGCAACAATATACTCGGCATCTTCCTCACTATCCAGCTGAAGTTTTAGACATATATCACGCAGCGAGATACGTGAATAAGCAAGCGAAATACGACGCACTCCAGCCTTGATAACATTGTGACGCAAACGAAGGATAAGTGTTAGGTTCTTGTCGGCACGAAACACGTTGCCATAAGTAGAGAGAGTCTCTTGAAACTTGGAAAGATCTCCGATTCGCACGGCTTGAGTAATCTGCAGATATGGAACAAGTGCCTTGCGCAACTTGACTTCTCTAAACAGTGCACGCTCGGGAATTTCTCCCATTAATAGCTGCACGATAATAGATAGTTTGGTAACCTGGACACATTGATAGACCACAAAAAGCAATGTTATTAAACTGCAGTGCATGATTTGATTTGAAATATTAGTATCAAGTTTCAAGCCCAATAAAACTTACAGTCTGCTGAAACCCAGCAGTGGCATTAGTTTGTGGACCCTTTCGGATTGCTTGAAGAAGATGACGGTGTGACTCGGAATAGTCCAACTGAATGGCCCGAATACGGCCTGCGATTTCAATTCAAAATTTACAATTAAATTTGTAATAAACAAGCCATATTATTCAAATACCAGGTGAATCCTTACCAAGATAGTAGGTGTACCGAGCAGCCTGATTGTTACCGACGGTCTCGGGAAAAGATGCCTTGGATACAAGTTTATCGGCTTGATCAACAAGATTTAAGCTCAAATAATGTCTCAAGAGAACATTAAGAGTGGTAGCCTACAAATATATCCAACACAAACATTAGCTGCTGGTTTCTAGCATATTTAAAGCGTAGTATTTCCTGGTTACCTGAGTCTCGTCATCTTGACGGAGTGATGCCGTGCGGTGAGCAGCAAGAAGAATACTAGAACGTTACAAATGCAATATTTAAAGATTAAACCGTATTTTGACTGTAGAAATAAACCAAAGCAAATACATACGGACGAATCTCTTCAACCTTTCCAGCAATCTCGTAAAAGCGTGCATAGTAGAAATAGAGACGACCAGAAATTGGATCCAAAGTACGGAGATTCAGTGATTGCACCATGCTTGTCAACTGACCAGTAAGTGAAGTACCCTATTTATCACAAAATCATAGTTTCAGAATAGGTATTCTAAATGGCTATGTTATTGTATATCTACATGATGCAATATGATGAACCTTGGAGTACAGTTTTTGGTCGTGGAAATAAACAGCAACTAAAAGACCGAGGAAAATTCCCGATTCTGGCACAGAGGTCTTGGCAGGAAGTTTTGCGCCTGGGGTGTCAATGTCCATATCGGCCTTGGCAGACTTCTGAGTCTATATTCACAGAAAGTCACATTTAGTTGCATAGATTGACCACTGTCAAATTAGAAAACTAGAAATATAAAGATACAACTTACAGATTCAAGTGCATCGACAAGGATTTTGCGAACTTGGTGGTCTAAAAAAGGACAAACACATTAGTCACGTATCTATAGTTGTCTTGACAAAAAAAGTACCTTGAGCCAAGTTTTCCTGAACTGCCTTGAGCAGCAGCTCGCTGGTAAGACGAGGACGAATAGAAGATGTACCGCGCAGTGCACGAGTAATGAATCGAGATTCGGAAGATACACCCCTCTCAACTAGCATTATTGCTTGCCTGACATCTGTAATTCAATGATGAAAAATCATGATCCGTATCGGATTAAATATGGTTAGCAGAAGATTCAATGAGATAGACCACAGCACATGTGGATACAAGTAGAATCTTCAAGATCAACAGGATTCATAGGACAGATTATGGCGCGTTTCAATGAGCAGTATTCTGGACAGTATAAAACTGCAGGTTTGAACTAGTCAACGATGGACATTTAAATCCGACAACTCAACATCATGTATAAACACACTCAGTCAACAATAAACCAGCATTTGCTACTGACAGGACTTGACAAGAACGACAAACAACATTCCATGGTAGATTAATGTTGATATCTTCAAATGGGTTCAACCCTCCTTTCACTTTGAACTAAAAGCCAGTCATCAAGTCAAGCAACAAACAGGCCAGATACTGTAATTGACAACTCTGATATCAACGAGCAGGAACCATATGGCATGAGTATCCATCAACCAGATATACAATAAACGCACCAGAAAGAAAAGCAGCATTCTCAGTAGCAAGTTTCTCCTCTAAAGTAGGCTCTTTCACGCTAGCAATTACATCAGACTTTTCAGCAGTCTGCTTGGTGTTCTTCACAGCTTGCGATCCACCCATCTTTGACTGTAATTTTATCAACTGGCGATGACTTGAAAAGTCGGAATGGCCCAGGGGTTAGTCACGTGTGATCATTCACTTTTTGGATCTGACTGCAGAGTGTTGGCAAGCTAATCGCACTCGTATCAATGCGTTTAGAACAGCTCGATACACTCGTACAATCATCTCTGTTTTCGGTTTACTCGATCGAGCCAGATGTGAAGTTGGAATGAAAATCAACCGAGTTGATCAAATCCAACTTTACTCGACAATCATCAACCATGCTTTCATTCACTGCTGTCAAGCGTGCCATTCAACTCCCTGCAATTTCTACCAAGACTGCTAGCATGCTTGCTACATCAATGCCTTATCCCATTCGATCTGGCATTTCTTGTGCCGCTACTCATGCCGTGTTTAGCTCATCTAGCAAGTCAAATCATACATTTGCTAGAGTCCAGGTAACTGTTTATTGTGCAATAATTTACTAGTTGATATGTTTGGGTTTTGAAGATTGGCTGGCTGTATTTACTGTCAATTCTGGCAGCTTGTATTTATAGATCCTTTAATACCTTGACAATACAGTGTTGTTATTGACTGACGATTTTATTGTTTGGGCGGTATAGAAACCTGCTCCTGCTTGGTCTGCCACTGCTGTTGTTGGCAAGGAATTTAAAAAATTGTCTTCAGAAGACTTTCTTGGCAAATGGCTTGTCTTGTTCTTTTACCCTTTGGACTGTAAGTAAAGCTTTGTTCAGTAATCTCTAGATCATGAAATGGAATCGGTTGAGCTAGTTGAGCTAGCTGACAAATTTCATTGCAGTCACTTTTGTTTGTCCTACTGAAATCATCAGTTACAGTAAGGCTGCTGAAGAGTTTCGTAAGCTGAATACTGAGGTGGTTGGCGTGTCGGTCGACTCTGTGTACTCTCATTTGGCTTGGATTGAGCAGCCTCGCAAACTTGGAGGACTTGGCGATCTCGATATTCCACTCGGTAAGATGACTGGATAAACACCTTGAGAATCACTTGAAATAGATCTATATACTCATTCTCTTGTATTCACATCAACTGCTTATAGTTGGCGACATCACCAAAAACATATCCCACAATTATGGTGTGTTGGCTGACAGTGGTGCCGATATTGGATTATCCCTTCGTGGTACATTTATTATTGATCCCAAGGGCACTGTGCGTCAGATCACCATCAACGACACTGGTGTTGGCCGCAACATTGATGAAACATTACGTTTGGTTGAAGCCTTGCAGTTTGTTGACGAACACGGCGTAAGCACATACAATTAAACTATTTGCAATGTTTTGATGTAGATCTAATGCCTATTAAACTATCATAGGAGGTCTGCCCTGCTGGATGGAAAAAGGGTGAAAAAACAATGATTCCTAACCCCACCAAATCCAAAGATTATTTTAAATCTGTAGCCGAATAAACTCGAGTTCTTGAATGCCAACAACTGTTTTTTTATAATCAACTCCAACTCTTACAAACCAAACATTGAGTGATTGACATAAAAAACTGATGAAATCATTGTTGAACCAGAACGCTTCCAAGTCTAAAACCATCTGGATTACAATGGATGAATCCAAGTTTAAACCTGATGATCATACAATGTATGACTATGTTGGATGCCAAAGGGAGATTCAAAGTGTTTATTTCAGCCCAACATATGGTTTGTATTACATGATAAATATTGTTTATTGATGGATTGAGTGTTGGCTTAAGCCAATTTGTAATAGAACTGAACATCAGACTATTTCAAAGCAAAATAATGATGGCACGGCAAGTACAGAAAAGTTTCATTTTGCGTGAATGCGGCTGATCTTGAATTTATCAACTTGCAGTTTTTGACAACATTGGATTAGCCATGTCTAGCAGTGATTTTTTAGATGCCAACGACGCTTTTGAGAATGATGAACAAATACAAACAGTTCCCTTGTCCAGTAAGTCATTTGCCGTATGTTTGCCGTCTTTTACTCATAAACAACGACTTGACAATCTAACATTGGATTTCAAGCTCATTGTCCACTTGTAGCTCAGGTTGTGCCAGATGGGTCCGCAAACCTTTTGTCCAGTCCTAAACCGAACTTGCCAGAAAGTATTCCAACAACACCTGAAACCGACAAATCTGCTTACCATCAAACATCCAACTTTACTCCACCGACTACCAAGAAATCTCGACCTCCTCCAACAGAACGCAAGACTCTGACTCCACTCGAGGAAAAAATCGCTAATCCAAAATTGTGTATTCTCAAAGACAGCAGCATAGAAAGTTTTGTTGAATACCTGAAAGAGAATGAGTGCAGCAAGGTGATTGTCATGACAGGCGCGGGAATTTCTACTAGTGCCGGTATACCTGATTTTCGTACTCCAAACACTGGACTATACGATAATCTGGCCAGGTAAATTCTATTTCTATGGCGAACCCACAATATGAAGCCAAACCATTCATTGTCTTTATTTTTTACCCTGTGTATAGTTATAAACTCCCCTATCCAGAAGCCATATTCGACATTGCATACTTTCGGCAAAAACCACAAGCGTTTTACACTTTGGCTCGTGAGCTTTTTCCAGGCAACTACAACCCAACTCCAACACACCACTTTATCAAAAAATTGGCAGATAATTGTATGCTTCTTCGCAATTACACTCAGAATATCGATATGCTAGAAAGGATGGTTGGAGTGGACGATGACTTTCTTGTTGAGGCTCATGGATCGTTTCATCTTGCACGATGCGTTGGTGGAATCAAAAGTGGCTTGCCCAGCGTATTCTCTAGCAGCGTGTCAGACCCTTCGTCCGATGATGAAAAGAGCAACACAGATCAAGCAGAGCAGAATACCCAACCGTCTGAATTAGAACCTCAATGTGACACAAACACTTTATCACAACATCTAGAACTACCAGATGAAGACATTGATGCATGTGGAAAAACTTATACTATTCAAGAGTTTAAATCTGCTTTGATCAATACACCTATTCCTCGTTGTGAATGCGGTGGGCTTATTAAACCAGATATTGTATTTTTTGGTGAGTCGCTTCCACGCAGGTTTTATGATCTTCTGGTTGATGACTTTCAACGCTGCGACGCGCTCATTGTGATGGGCACTTCATTGCAAGTTCAGCCGTTTGCTGGTTTGGTGAATCAAGTGGGTCCACTTGTACCTAGATTACTAGTGAACAAGGACATGTGTGGAGATTCAAGACAAAAGACACGTGGGTTTGATTTTGTAGGCGATGTCCAGAAAATAAGGCGAGATGCCATATTTCTTGGCTCGTGTGACAATGGTGCACAACTCTTGACCAAACTGCTTGGATTTAATCTTGATGATACCAATCAGGCAGATGAAAAAAGCATCGATGCATTGGCAGATGCACTTGTGAGTGCAACCATCTAATTCCACTTGAACTCTAATAAAGTGTCCTCAGGCTTTTAGTGCATTTATAATTTTTTATCGATAATTTTTTTGTTGTAATTTGGTTTCTGTGGTCGCTGGTATGTATGGTATCGGTTCTGCCCTCTAGGAATCATTACTGTAGAGTGATTGTATTCTTTTTAGCGCAGTGCTTGGTCCATTCAGTCAGTGCAAGTACCCAATTGATGGGTTATACACTACCAATGCAATGATGTTTTCAATCATGCTAATTCACAAGATCATTGATAAAGCGAGATTCCCTTTCGAGGTGAGACTTTCTTTATTGGTGCTTGATGAAAAACTTATTCAAACAAAACCTGAGCATTGGTACTGTTTATGCCCTGATTTGTTGGTGTAACGACTAGAAATAAATGTTTGATATTCATTTTGAAAGTAATCAGTTGGATGGGTTTAGAGCCGTGTATAGATTATGGTGGGTGTTTATTGTGAATGGACTGCGAATAAAAGCGTTGTATGGTGAGATCTTGTTTCAGTATATTAGGCGAGCAGAGTCTGGTAGAGAATTCCACAGATCATCCACATCGCTGCCTGATAATCCTCTGAATGCTTTTGTCTTGCTTACCATTCCAAAATGCTCCAATATGAACTCCAATGTCCGTTGGCATAATACACTTTCTTCACACCGCATGGCACAGAGATACACCCACACAACATCTGTGTCTGGCTCTGCAATCATGAGTTTGGCGCTACACAGGCGTTGCAATCGTGGAAGGCAGTATCGGTTTGCCATGGACATAACATCAGCATAAGTGCGAGATGTAGCCATTTGAAGTGTATCAGTGTAAAGATACGTGACAAACAGGCGAATGCTGTCAATGGTATCCTTGAGCGAAAGGGTTTCTGTAGTGGTTTCCGACATACCCGATGAGACTAAATTTAAAAAATATGGCCATCGAGTCATGAGAATAAGACGGTGCACAGGTACTTCTGGTAAACCAGGCGAGGTCGATGATATGATTCTAAAATCAGCCAAATGGGTTTGCTGCAGTAGTTGTCCAAACTCGGCTGACATGGTGCTATCTAATTTCGATGATATGCCATAGTATTCTAGGTTGATGATCAGTATATTTGACATGAATCCCTACATTGAGCATGTGCATCGGTAGCAATCGACAGCAGATTGTTAGCGCTAGCAACACTAATCTGACAGTATTGACAATCTAACCTACATCTTCATCATTGGCAGGATTCTCGCCGAGTAAATATATCATTGGCTTGACTGGATCAATAGCATGATAATGCCAAACAAAGGGTTGCAGTATGTGACCATTGCTCAAGCGTTGCCATCGCAATGCATCCAAATCCAAGGCCCATACACCACTGGCTTGCATCTGCGACACGTCATCTGCTCCGCGCCAATGCACTGGTACTCCAACCACAACAACAAACTTTCCAAAACACTGCACATGCTGCTGCTCCATGTGGCAAGGTGCATTAGGACTGTCAATGGAGATGATGGCGCGAGATCCGGTTAACAAGTCCATGAAGCTCAAGCATTTTACTCGGTCCATGTTGTCATCAAAACCACCATAAATATAGAGACGGTCCTGATAGACCCAAGAGTTGTGTGCATGACGATGAATAAAGTTGCGAGGAGCATCCCAAGTTTTTGAGTTGAGATCGAGTATATTAACCTGATTGGAAATATCCTCATCTTTTCGCTGGCATCCACCTGTAAAACAATGTAATGCTTAAAACCATTGATGGTGAAAAACCAATAGCGTTGACTCGACAGTGAAATAGCTTACCAGAAATAATAAGCTTGTTCTCATGAATCACTGCAGAATGCTTTGTACGGCCAGTAGGAATATCTCCACTACAAACTAGCTTTTCCCATGTCAGTTGCGAAAGACTGAGCACAAACACATCGTTTAAAAAGTTTTCGTTTGTATCCGAGCCACCAAATATAACCAGTCTTGTAACCATGAATTCACATTGATCATGTCAGTGTCAACATGAAAATAGCATATGACACTCAATATTGTAAGGATGACTGAATAACCAAAACTCTGCACCTGTCGTCGCCCCATCTTGTCATGGTATGGTCTGTGCGTTTTACTGGCCAAACACCTCGAATATGGTTGATGTTCTTCCAAACATTGTCCGCTAGATTGAGTACATGAAGGTCGTTATAAACTACATCCGACACAAAATGAAACCTAGACCATGAAATGGTAAAGTTAGAAAGCCATTTCAACAACAGCAGGTTTTATAAGACGATACTCTTTCCAATAGGAGTTGGAACATACCCTCCAAACGAGTATATTTTATCGCCAACACAAGCACATGAAGCATTTACCACACAGTTATTGTTGCCTGTAGTCTGTTCTATCACTGACATTTGCGAAATGAATCAAGCTTGAACAAGGTGAAAAACTAGGTTTCATAAATGTATTCACGCAAAATGGAACTTGGATTTGCAGTCGTATTCACGTAAAATGAAACATTTTTTGTATTGTTCTTGTAATGATTGTTTTGAAATACACAATCATTACAGATGTGTTGCTATTAGAAATTGATTTTTATAAAAGCTTCAAGTTCTTGTTTAGCATTTGAATTGCTCGATGCAAAGCCATTCTTTATCATACTCGAGGTATTTTCTGCAATTCAAACATGAACAATATGCAACTCCAGTTCACGCGACATATGTTGAATGGCTGGTAAACCTGTTTAAAATTGCATTGTGGGATGGAATAAGATGACCGTTTGACAAGCCTTGAAACAATGTCAAGGGTGTGGTATATATTGGAACAGGGATGCGATGTGAAGAGTCGCTTCATTTTTTGTAAAGAATGAGTAGAGATTGGCAAGCTTCAAAAAGGGCTTGTATGACTCAAGATTACCCAGTAAATGTGGTAGAAACTATTACTTCATGAAACTGACCGTTTATCATTGATGCTTGAATGTTCCATTTTACATGAATACGATTGGTAACATTCTGTAATTAGATTAGCGGATAAATCAGCATAGGGTCTGGGACAGAGGAAACCTTGAAACTATCATAGAAAGATTGGGCTAGCTAATCCGCCCAATGGATGAGCAAAAGTCATTTTATCAAAGCAATTTAAAGCAGGCTGAATGGCTCGGTACCTTGTTATTGCAGTAATAAGCTAGGGCTTGGCAATGCATAGGTACTGGGGCATGTAAAAACCCATCTTTTTGCATAATTAAAATTGAGTTGACGAGTTGGGGGTTTCGATTCAAGCCAAAAACCTCCTATTGATGAATTGTTTCAATCTACATATCATTGGCCAAGCATTATAAACTGACATTGCCATTTTGTAAATAGATCAGATAAGCAATAAACCTGAATTAGCCAATTTGCATCAGGGTGAATAAGCTTTAGTGGGGATAGTTGATGTATAGCCTGTAGTTTCAAGGGTTAGGGTTAGAGCTGATTAGGACTATGAATTACAAAAGGATGGACGAGTCTAGTCAATCTTGGCAGAGAATCACAGCTGTATTCACGTAAAATAAAAAACAAACGAATGTTCAAAGCAGCACTTGCATTAGTTTCAATCAACGCATACTTGTTTAATCACCAAATCTCTTTTCATCCAACCCGATCGTTACAATAGTGATTGGCAAGGAAATGTTTGTTTTCTTGGATGTGCAATTGTTCTCTTGAATTGGAGCGCGAGCGTAACTGATAGTTCAGGATACAACAAATGACAACATCAGTCAAGCTCAGTGGATTGCGATACATGGCTATGCCAAAAAAAGAAAGGGATAATCAGTTTAAACTCATAGCTTAATTGGATACATTATACGATGGACGGTTGAGAGAACTGGGAATGTGTGATGGGAAAGCATAACATGTTGAGATTCCAAAGCAAGACACAGATGGACTAGTTTAGAATATAGCGGTAAAACAATGCAGGACAGCCACTAGATAACGGAGCATCAACAGTGACCTTGACTCAGTAGCCCTTCATATGGTTACCCGACTAGCTGGCTTAAGATGGCAAAGCAATTGCAAAGGGCGGCACTTGCTTAGTTTACACTGACCGTATAAGGTTGAATTTTCTTTCGACACTTGACTTTGCAAAACACTTGTTACAAGCTATTGTGTTGTATTTCTAATACAGCGATGGAACACTACTTACTACAACCTGCATTGTTGGATATTCTAAAAAGATCCAGACGAAGACGGAAACTTCTACTAAAGCACAAGCCATACTTTTTGGCTCATATTGTATCAGTCATGGTAGTCATGTTCATATTGCAACTGATATCAGCTGGACTGCCAATGCTGCCACTAGCAACAGCGGCACCTGCGCAAACATCCATCAGCATTTTCATTGCTGCTACTGATGTTATCAATACTGGTCAGTCTCATACTGTGGTTGAAAGTACTGCCATGTCTGTGCCAAGATCAACAGGAGTTGAGGCTGGTTCGTCGGGACAGTTGACAGCCACTTTACCACACTCTCATGATGATCAACCATCACTGTCGTCTCCTCTGGGATATGAGCAATCCTCGACATCATTGATTACAACTCATGAATCAACAACTGTTTCTGTAGAATCAATCACTGTTTCTGTAGAATCAATCACTGCTCCTGTCGAATCAATCATTGACCAGCCTACACTGTCCTTGAGCATAACCCTTCCAGTGATTGAGAAACGATCACCAACAAACGAGGACACTATTCAGAGCACTGCACCAGCACCACAGACCTCTAAACCATTAACAACAAGACTGCATACACCAGAAGTAGAGCCAATTGTTGAAACATCACTTGCAACTGTAAGCATATCCTCTACGTTACAAGAGAAACCTGTTACATCTAAACTGCAGAACCCGCACACAACTCCCGCGGCAAAGTCGACCACACATTTGAAATTTAGTCAGGTTCCTCCTGTCGAAGCTACCTTGAACCCTCATTCTGGTCATGCCACTATCAGCACGCTGATTTTTGAACAAACTTCTATAATACCCTCTGTGACCATTTCTGGTGTTATTACTTTGGAATTACCCCATACCTTGCCTACCCCATCCCCATCCGTTGTGCTTCCTTTGGATTCCAAAACTTCTTTGGTAATCGAATCTTTTTCCCCGACTTCGACCTTTTTGCCTCTTCCCACATCTGGGCCCTCTAATTTACCCGCTGATCCCATCAATAACTCCTCCTTGCCTTCAGCCACTATGGTTAATCACACTGACCCTACCATTGATCCTCATTCGGGTTCCAATTCTAATGACTCACATACCAGCACTATCCTTTCTACTCTACATGATATCTCTTCTACTTCATCTGCAACCTTGCTGCCATCAGCAATACCAAATCCTGGACCTGACGGAAGCAACCCAGCTTCCAAATCGCGAATTCTCCCATCTAAAAGTATCGCCAGTATTATTCCTATTACAAGTCGTCTTTCCCAAGCCACTTCTGCTGCTAATCCGTCATCTTCCGTTCAGCCCAGTCTCACTATCCAATCCTCCCAGTCTGTCTCATCTACCGTAGATGAATCCACTCTACCATCATCGACAACCAGTACTCCTATAGTACAGGTTGTTGTTCGTTCCAGTAGCTCTAGACCTAGAGCTCAAAACAACTCTCCAGGTGGCGGTTCATCTGGTGGTGGATCTTCATCTGGAAACTCAAACGGTGGCTCTGGTCCAACAGTCGATGGTCCAACACCTAACAACAATAACAACTCTAACAGCGAATCCAATCCTTCTGGTATGAGTCCAAAGGTTTTGATTCCCGTTGTTGTTGGCTGCGCTTGTGCGTTTGCTCTTATTGTCGGAAGTATTATGCCTTATGTTAAGCAAACCAAATCCAGGCATTTATATGATAGTACCGCCTCAGGCAACGTGCAAGAGCAAGGCGGTGGCGTTTTTAATTTGAACAACTCACTAGGCTTGGCAAGTCCTGCTGGATCAACGTCTGACAACTCACCTCGCGCCTTGATTCCTCTTTTTTCTGTCCCAGGACGTGCTATGAAAGCTCTAAAACCCAAACACAAGAATCGCTCAGTGCAAAAAAGAGGTGCACCTTTGCAGCTGTTTGGGTCTCATCGGTTTGGCGCCAAACATTCAAAAGCATGTCCAGATCTTCCAGCGATTATATTGGCACCACCGCCTCTTGCTGCCATCAATTTTAGAGACGATGGCAGTGCTCAATCTTCTTCAATGGATCAATACATGGCCGAGGCAAATACACATTGCATCGGATTCACTTCTGAGCCTATTATTCTTACTGGATCTGCTAATCTTCCTATTCCACCCAAAGGCAGTTCTTTTATTTTGCCCGAAAATCGTCAGTATGACTCGCTCGACTACGACTTTGGGCACGTGGGCACTGCCTCTGGCTCATTTATTTCCGAGACGGGTCTTGACTGTATTACGAGCTTTTCTTCCTACGAGTCTCTGTTCAAGGGTAGACCATCGTTTGAGTCGACAAATGTACATGCCTTGCAATCCTACTCTTCATTGGATCCCTCGCAAAACCAGCCATCGCTTAAACGGTCTTCCGGTCTTGATCCTTTGCAACGCGCTTCCAGTGTATTTACTCTTCAGTCCTACCTTAATACTCGCCGCGAATCATTTGATACCAATGTAACAATTGAGAGCTTGTCAAAATACCTCGACTAATTTGACGGTGCTGGCTGCATTTCCGTTTGTTTTGGCTCATGACCTGTTCTGTATTTTTATCCACTCTTGTCCCCAATGTATCCGACCCCACCCCGTTTCTAACCCCAACCCTTTGAATCCGGCCATGTCAATGTGTATCGTGTAAATACATCTTATGGAATAATAAAGTTTACGCTTTCGACTAAACCCTAAATTTGGACCAGTGTGTGGTAGAATCCAAAGCGATTGGCTGTGATGTGGAGGACGGCTGTGCTGACAAAGGTCATGCGCTCAAAACAGCACATCCAATACATTACACTATAAGCTTTATCGAGAGCTTGGACCTAATGATTGGCCGACTAAAAGCTAGAGATGCATGTTGGTATGCGAGGGAGTAGCATGTCTGATCGGCACTCGGACTTGAGCACAAGCAATTAATGCTATACGCCCATACACATTATGAAATAAGCGCGAAATTAGCCAGCCTCGACTCCATCTGACCTGGTCAGGCTATCGTGTGCTTGGAATTTATGCTAGATAGCAATAGCATGAATTTTACCCGTATAGAATTGTCCGACGGCTATAAAAACAGGGCATATTACCTCGTATATTCAAGATAAGATGTTATTTACTACTACTGCCATTGCCTTGATTGCTGCCTCTGTACCTAGCGCTTTGGGCTGGGGAAAAGTTGGTACGTGATGCTACGAGTTTGAATCAGGTGTCATGAGTCATGTCTAACGTGTTTTAAACCATTTAGCTCATGGTGTAACTGGATTGATTGCTACCAACCTAATGACCAAGGACGCTCAGTCTTTTGTAAAATCGCTTATTCAAGATGAGAGTCTTCAAGAGGCTTCTACTTGGGCTGATAAAATAAAGAGGTCTGCTGGGTTTGCATCATGGAGTGGTGTATTGCATTATGTCAGTACACAAGATAAGCCGCCTGGAGATTGCAGTTACGATGATGCTCGCGACTGTGCCGATGGAAACTGTATTGTTGGCGCTATTGCCAACTTCACCATGCAAGCAGACTGCAAATCTAGCTTCAGCGATAAACAACGTGGCGAGGCTCTGAAGTTTATTACTCACTTTATCGGTGATATTACCCAGCCATTGCATGTTTGTGAACGCGGTCGTGGTGGTAATGACCAAAAGGTTAAAATCGGTAGAAAAACTTCCAAACTCCATAGTATCTGGGATACTGAAATGCCCGAAAAGCATGTCAAGAACGACTTTGGTGGCTCTGCTGAAGATTACGCTCAACATCTTACTGATCAAATCAAAACTGGCGACTATAAAAGTGAGGCTCAATCGTGGCTCTCTGAGCATGCTCATGATGCTGTCAATGAACGTCAAAACTCGCTTGCTGCCATTGACTGGGCAACTGACTCGAATGGCTATGACTGCACCGTTGTCTGGCCTGCTTACGATGAGAATCCCGACCAAGACTTTGGCGGAGCATACTACGAGGCTGCTGTTCCCGTGATTGACTTGCAAATTGCAAAGGCTGGATTCCGTCTTGCTGATTGGTTAGATCAGTTGGGTAAAGCATGCAAGAGCTCAACAAGCACTCGTCGTCGTCGTTAATCCGTGTCGGTTTGAATCATTTTGTAAAAGGGTTTAATCGGTCAGGACTTTGCATTATTTTGTCATAGCCTGTCATAGTTTATTAGCAAACCCAAACGTTGTACTTGTTTTAAAATTGTTAATGAATAAAACTGTTTATTCGACACCAATCAATTCAATTTCAAATATCAGATTGGTATTGGGGGCAATTCTATCGAGTGTAAAAGCAAATTGCATTAATTTAATTGTATGAACAATGCATCTAAACTGCGGTGGAGTTGGACTTACTTGGCTTCAGGGAGTCCCTTTTTACCATACGCCCATTCGCTTTCAATAACAAGTCTGGCTTTTTCACCCACACACATGGTTTGAATTCCCTCATCCCAGCCACGAATCACCTTGGATGCACCCACTATGACATAGGCATTAGATTGATGCTATTGTAATCAGCATGGTGGTCAACTGGACAGCAACAAGCATAGCATACCTTTGAAGCGCAGCGGATAGGGCTTCTTTTTGCCAATATTTGTATCAAATACAGTGCCATCTTCCAAAGTTCCCGTATACCAACACGACACTGTACTTCCCTTGCGAGGAAAAGTCTGACCAGTACCTTTTTTAATAATGGATTTTGTAAACAGTGGCTATATGATTTCACCCATAGTAAAATAAAAGTGTTGGTTAGAGTGATGAATGAGCGTGTCTAGACATTCAAGCAAATTCAGCATACCACGGTCGAGACGGATTCGGTAGTGGTAGGAGCAGCTTTGGCAGGTGTAGATATGGCTGCAGTGGCTATGGATGCCTCATCTTCCAACGTAACTCCTTCTGGACGCCATGATTGAGTTTCGTAGAGAGCGTCGTATGCTGCAATCAAATCTAGCTTTTTAGCACCCTTGGTGATGCTTGCTACTTTTCCAAACAACTTGACTTCTTTCAAAAACTTTAAAAGCCACGGATTAGTATTTGGAAAAATTAGAGTCAGGGTTAGAATGCATTGGTTTCTATTTAAATGTAATCATTTGGTACGAGGCTATTACAACGTTACCTTGTAAGTGGCATGCTGATGTAAAAACTCGACAATGGTTTTCTTGGAAACAGCATCAGAGGCAAGTTGCTCTGCAGTCCATTCTTTTACTGTTTGGGCAGTCATGTTTATCGAGTTTTTTTTTAATTTTTGCTGCTGAATTTATATGGACTCAAACCCTACCCTCAGGTGAAATGCATAGTGGGTTTTGAGTTGAACCATGTCAATATGATTTCCAAGACAAGTCTATTCAAGGATTGCAATCTTGCTCATTTACTACAAACACTAGAATGACTTGGATTTGTAGATCAAGACAGCCAACGCAACACGCAAGAATTTGCTCGACAAACGATTTGAATATAGAATGTCAATCGGAATGATTTTATTACAAATCAACCTTTGCTCCATCCTCGGTACTGTCTGGTTTAGTTCCAACAGCGACTTCTCGACAGTTGGTGACAGTGATGTCCTCAACAGGTCGATCACCATGCTTGGTTTTGGTACTCTCAATAGCCTTGACAACCGACATACCATCCATCACCTTGCCAAAAACAACATGACGGCCATCGAGCCAAGATGTGGTTACAGTAGTAATAAAAAACTGCGATCCGTTGGTGTCTTTGCCAGCATTGGCCATGGAGAGAATGCCAGGGCCAGTATGCTTCAGAATAAAGTTCTCGTCAGCAAACTTGTTGCCATAGATCGACTTGCCACCAGTACCATCACGGTTGGTAAAGTCACCTCCTTGAAGCATAAAGTTCTAAACAAGTCATTCATGGTTGACAGTAATGAGAATGAATACTAATGTCGACATAAAGTATTGTACACAAGTTGACCAGTAGATCTAGCATCACATGTAGTAATTTAAACTGCCGTTGTCATCACCAATCAGATAACAAGTAGAACAAGACATGCAGTAGCCAAGACATTATGCATACTGGAACAGCGAATGTGCGAATGTCTTGGAATATCTTACCTTGATAACTCTGTGGAAGATGGAACCCTTGTAGCCATAACCCTTCTATAGAACCACCAAGAACAATGGTTAGTATTGCTGCAACACTACCAATCCCAATGCAAGCATCTACAACTCAAGCCATATTCAAACCTCGCCAGTACAGAGCGCACGGAAATTCTCAACAGTCTTGGGCACTACACTGCCGTATAAACCAACTGTGATATCACCCAGTGGAGTCTGTCCCTTGGACATACTAAAAACAAGTTGATGAGTAAAAGCAGGACTTTCAGCTTGAACAGTCACAGCTGCAGAAAGAAGGCCAGCAATCCAAACAAGCATAGAGGGCTGCATGATTAGAGATTCAAGGTCAAAAACGATAATCGGATTCTCAGTTTGGATCAAATTTCAATTACAAAAACTCATTTTATTGTTTGTTTCGTTTCGAGTCGCTGCTGGTATTCTCGGCCCCAGATCGACCACGCTTAGCAGTCGACATAAAGTCTTGAAACCCAAATATGTCGGCTTCCTTCTCAAAAGCAACCGGTCCATCTCGGACTGCTGCTCCCCTTTCAGTCTCTGTGCCTTGAAACCCACGATGAGGTGCATTGTCGCCAAGAAGCTTTTCAATCTTATCTGTATGCACACCCGCAACGGTTTCAGTCTCGATACGTTTGGGTCGGTAGATTGCATTGGCTGATGATCCTTGAAAGAGCGGCTTGTCATACGTGTTGTACGAGTCTTCTGCCCCAAATCCTGATGAAATACCCGCAGACTGATTAAATAGACGCTGGTCAAACATGGTGTCCTTGGACATGGTCGGCTTGGCAAGTCCGAGTGCAATCTTTTCGGAAATATCACGATTGGTTCTACAAAAAGATAAAACTTGAGTTGGAACATAGTTGGAGCATCAACCCCCACAACACATTCTGTTTTTAAACTTACCCTTGTGCCATGACACGCACTTTAGTATCGGTTCCCATATGCGTCATACGAAGCTCTCGCTCACGTTGTTTGGCCTTGTCACGACGCAGATCGTCACGCTCCTTCATCATCTTCTTTTGCTCTTCAGTCAACTCCTCCTCATCCTCAGTGGCAAACTGATCAATATGCTCTTCTCGTTCATGAGTAGTATTTCCACCATCAAGCACGCTAGAGATGAAATGATCTGCAGAAGGAGCCTCACCCGTACCAGAAACAAGTCCGGCACGCTCTTCACGTGCCTTTTGAGCCAGCATTCGCAACATATCTTCCTTTTCACGCTTTTCCTTTGCTGCAACTTTGGATTGCATCTCGGCTCTTAACCGCACTTCGTCTCGTGCATGACGATCTGCAATAAATAGTGCTTCGGATAGTTTGGCAAAATTGTCATTAATTGTTACTTCTTGAAGCCCTCGGCCGTCATTAGCAAGACGCTTATCCAAAGGAATGGTATAACCTTTGGCGTTCTTCCAATTACTGATACAAGGTGGAATAATCCAGTTGCGCTGTTCTTCAACAGTGACTTTTCGGGGCGGAGAATGCATTACTGGTGGTGGTGGAGAGGGTGGGCCACGAGGCACCTTTTTAGGCTTAAATCTGGGAGGTTCAAAAGGATCTATTGGTGCTTCAACCATCTTGATGATACGAGATTTGGCACCCGATGCAGCCTCAGAAGCAGCTTGATCTGCAGGTGTGTATCGTACAAATGTTGCACCTTCTTTGGCTTTAACAATCTGACCACTCTTGGCTGATGCGGTATGCACTGTGTAAAACAATCGAATACATCCACAATAGACATGATCAGAATCAATGCAGTTGCATCATGCCAATTGATATAATGGACTAGCACGCTTGGCATAGATTAAACAAAAACTACTTACCCCCAACAAGTTTGTCAAGAGCAGCACGAGTCCGATCTGCAACCTCTTTGACGCTACTCGCATCGGGTCGCAACAGATTTTCATCACCGTCAATGACATCCTGCTCCTTCATTGCAGCAAGGCTTGAATGAATTACCTTTTTATCATTCTTTTTTTGTCCCTGATGTAAAACCAAATCATATCGAATCTTTCCCGACTCATCTGTTTCTAGTGAAAGTGTATGTGCATGTCCACCACCTGCTCCTCGTTTGTTTCCCATATCAAGAGGAAATTGAACCATATGAATCTCGGGGAATGCACCACCATCTCCGAAATCCTATTTCAAATCGTCAGATCATCGAAACCATTCAGAGATATAAGAAACTAGATTGAAACTAGTATACCAATCCTATCCATCTTGGATTTATATCCAGTTTATGGCTAGCTCACCTGAAGTGTTTTTGGAGCAAACCCAACACGGAATCCATAAGGAGGCGGGCCTTGTTTGACTGTAGACACTACTCCATCACTACGATTCTCCACAGCAGATTGTGCTTCATCATCCGAGTCATCATCCCATCGACTTGATTGCAAAACAGCCTTTGGTTTAGGAAGAATACTTGATCCAATTCAATGTTAAAAATACTGTTAGTTTGAATAGTGGTCAAGTGTATGACTGACATCAAGCATTTATTCCAATCCACTCATGACGGCATGCAACAGTCCAGACTTGAGCAGGAATATGCCGAGTCATTTAAAAGTAATTCGTATTGCTCCGCCAAGTTGGATTCCAAACCACATTGAACAACTTGTAACAAACGATACTGCAAAAACTCACCTATACAAAGACATTTCTGGTAATACAGTACAGACTGTTGTTGCTAATATAGACTAGAGTTGGACTGCTAAGACCAAATCAAACGGTTAAGTTGAATTGGTTTATCAATGTGCAAGTAAATAGAAAAACCAGAAACACACGAATTTCAACTAATTTCAATCCACAGCATAAAACTTGAATTGAATGTGTGATATATTGCTGTTTAATCAAATCTACTTTAAATATTCATACACAAAACTGAATATTTGAGCTCATTCACAAAATACTCGAATTGAATGTGTGATATATTGCTGTTTAATCAAGCAAATCTACTTTAAAAAATACCCATACACCGGATTATGAGTCTCTTCTACAAATGAGTACTTGAGCTCATCCAGAAAACGCTCAAAAAGATGGCTCGAATTGGGTGGAACCTGCAATCCAACCATCACTTTACCCACATCACCTCCATAGTTGCGATAGTGGAATAACGTGATGTTCCATTGAGGTCGCTTGATGGCATTTAAAAAGGAGTAAAGTGCTCCAGGTCGTTCGGGAAAAGAAAGTCGAAAGAGGCGTTCGTGAGGAATGTTTTTACGTCCTCCGACAAGGTATCGAGCATGAGCTTTGGCCATTTCGTTATGACTAGCATCCATACCCTTCATATCCTCAGCATCTAGATCACGAAGAATCGTGGCAAGCTCAGCTTCGCGATTATCCAGCAGAAACGAAGTGAAAATATGTGCTTGAGCTTCATCACCATATCGATATGAGAGTTCGGTAACTGCGCGTGGGTGAATACACTTGTATAGCTTCATAAAGCTGAAAGAATAACAGAAACAAACATGTCAGTTTACATCCAACAATCCCTCACACAACGTTTTGTAATCATGTATACCTTCCAGGCTGTTCAGGAAGAACCACACTGATGAGCGCTTCGCTATTTTCACCAAAGTCGGCACGCTCAGCAACAAATCGCAAGCGGTCAAAGTTCATGTTTGCACCACTGCAAATAGCAACAAACGTTCCACCACTCAGGTTATTTTCATGAATGTATTTTTTAGTGCCAGCAATACCAAGAGCACCAGACGGCTCGACAATACCACGGGTGTCTTCGAATACGTCCTTGATGGCTGCACAAATTTCATCAGTGGATACCATGACCATTTCGTCAATGAGAGAGCGGCAGATACGAAATGTTTCTTCACCAACACTGCGTACAGCTGTACCATCAGCAAACAAGCCAACTTCTGAAAGAGTGACTCGTTCACCTGCAAGGAGGGATCGTGCCATGGCATTGGCATCGTATGTTTCCACGCCTATAATCTTGATATTCGGATACAGGCGTTTGACATAGCTAGCAATTCCAGCAGTAAGACCACCACCACCAATAGGAATAAAAATAGCATCAATTTTGGTACAGTCAGTTTGACGAAAAATTTCTACTCCGACGGTGCCTTGTCCAGCAATGACATATGGATCATCATAAGGAGGAATGCTAATCATTCCATTCTCCTATACACCAAATGAGTTCAATTATCAATCTAGATAGTTTTCTGCACAATAAAATCCTGCATTTTAGTATTCAACACACCAGTGATAACCGAGCACACTCCTGCTTCGCTTCGTCAAAATCACTACCATGAAGTAAAACTTGCGCACCAAGACGCTCAACGTTTTTCCATTTGATAGGCGGAGTTGCCAAAGGCATGACAATAACAGCCTTGATGCCCATATGCTTGGCAGCAAGAGCAACCCCTTTAAATCGTTATAGAAACAACACATGAGTTTGCAAACGTAACGGTATGTTTCTAGCAGACTGAATAAAGCCAATCCATAACCTTGTACATACCTTGAGCATGGTTGCCAGCAGAACACGCAATCACACCTTTTAATCTCTCCTCGGTGTTTAATTGGGCCATCCGGTTGAATGCCCCGCGTAACTTGAACGAAAATACTGGTTGAAGGTCTTCACGCTTTAATAGGATCGTATTTCCCATTCGATTGGATAAGTTGCGAGCCTTTTGTAATGGGGTTTCCAATGCAACATCATACACTCTTGCCGTAAGAATCATTTTCAAATAATCTGGTTCATTGGGAATGGGCGTGATGGGGGATCCGGCATTTGGATTTGCAAAAATGCAAGGAAATGTAGTCTGAGTAGGACCGGATCGTGTTGGAGTGCCAGACGGAATGCAAAGAGTATCGACAGCAGCTGTGGATGTCAATCCAGAAATGCTTGGTAAATGCAGTTTTGAAGATTGTTTGACTGAATTGAATCGATGTAGAGTCACGGAAGCTGTGGATTGCAAGTAAACATCTGATGACAGGTCATGGGATTCTGGCTCGTTCAATGTAGTTGTGCTAGTGAATGGCGCTGATAAATTTGTTTGTGCGGTCGAAACTGACTTGGTGTTACAATGAATAGGACTGACTAAATCGACAACCATGGTCAATGAATCAACACTAGACTCTAAGACAAGTATTTATTTTGGGCTTCAAGGTATGCTTGGCTATCGATGCGGAAGCAGGCCAAAGGACGAATGGTTGGAAATAACGGAATAGTATATCAAAGTCCAATGGGAAGAGCAAAGCTACGTTCGGCTAGGGATTAAGAACCCAAAACCTAGAGCTATAGCTGGATAATTATTAGCAGTTTCAATAGAAATAAAACAATTCGGTGGTCCAAAATCAGTTTTGGATGGCGAGTTGATGTGATCATGCGGTCACAGTCAATACCCTTTACAGTTAAAGACAAAAGGGATGAGAACGGAAAAAAAATCAAAATTTGCCAGCAAGCATCACCATTAGTGCATCATGTGTTTGGAGATACTTGCATAAAACTCGACACGTTTGTGGTTGGTTTATTTGTTTGGATGCTTGATGTTTTTTGGAACCACTGGTAGATTGTATACTGGACTGAATGGCATGAACATACATTGCTCGTGTTTCTGTATCGCAGCAACAATCCGACCTGTTGACAAAATCCGCTGCTACGTCAATTAAGCAAGACGTCATTTGCTTGGCCTTTGACACGATGCTCGGCTTACAAACTAAAACTTGTCGTTTTTCAAGAACTGCAATAGCCTGATTTGATGCCATCAAATGGTAATGACCGCTGATGGCCCATTCTATTTCGCCTGCATTCCCATCCCTTTTGCCTTTGGCTGTATGCATCTCATGACACTCTCCCTATCCAAATAAACTTATTTCAATCAGCAATACCCAAATAGTCAAAGTCTAGTACTTGATACGAAAATAAATGTATTTTGCGAGTGAAATAAAAGCATCAAAATGTGATATATATGCCCAACCCAAGTTATAATTAAGAATCAAGATAATAAAACTAAATGGGAATAAAAATGTATGGTCAAGAAAAAAAGACAAGAATTTAGAGTAATAAAAAATCATAAACACGGGAAGTAACCCAAACAGAGCAGCAATTTGAAACAAGAAGCTTATTCAAAGCTTCATCCATGGATGAGACTGAACAAAATCAATGGTTGCACGAGACTGAAAGTTTTTGTCCAACATGCAATCTAGTAAATCTATACACAACTCTGACAGAGGGATATGTGTGCGAGAGTAAGGACGGTTGACAGCATGAGACGCAGATGTGAATGGAACTTGACCAGTAAGCATAATAAATAAACAGCATCCAAGTGACCATACTTCGGCTTCTGGACCACGGTACTTTTGGGATTTGAGAATCTCTGGTGCAGCATACTGGATTGTTCTAGAAACAAAGAGTCAGCAACGTGTCATCTAAATTAAGCAACCAGTACAAGTTTACAACATACCCTAAAAATCGGTCAAATTGGCGACCACCAATGTCGTCAAAGAAACTGGCGGATCCAAAGTCGATCAACTTGACATTAAAATTGCAGTCAATCAAAACATTTTCATCCTTGATGTCGCGATGAACTAGTTTTAATGATTGTAAATATGCAACAGCAGAAACAATCTGGCGGAAAACACATCTTGCTTGGGCCTCTGTAAAATGCTCAAATTTTTCAATGCACTCGAACAGATCCATTGAAGGACGTGAGGAAATGCTGCGTTGTGGAGCAATCGAGTCCATTCCACTGGGTAACAAGGCAGATGTGATAGGAGTAGAGTCTTGGGAAAAGACTGGAGAAAACAATGTAGATGTAGAGACATCGGGGATATCTTGGTCGGTTGATGACCAGCTCGAGCCATGAAGTTCAGTGACCAAATAGCAGAAATCTGCATCTGCATAATAATCAAGAAATCGGACAATATTTTGGTGGCAAATCTAGAAACCAAAGCACTCAAAAGTTAGAAACGTCAAGCATAATCAAAGCAAGATGCAAACATACGACATGGCCATCTTACATTTTTTAGAATATACACCTCCATAGGCACAGAGCCCAAGTCATGATCAACAGCCCAAGCCGTACGAGCAATCTTTGAGCGAATGATAAACTTGACAGCAACCTCACGACGATCTGAAGTACGCACAGCCGAACAGACAAACCCAAAGCCTCCAGATCCGAGCTCCTGCACAACAGAGTAGCGGGAAGCAAAAACAGGGTTTAATGCTTTGTTGCAAAGAAGCTGTTGTGCTCGTGTTCCAGGAGGAAAGATACAAGTCAGGACAGGCGAGAAAACTGGGGATGGAGGATGGGAAGCCATAGGAGCAGAGGATTTAATACTGTCATTAAATGAAATGGGGGGATGGGCAGCCTCGGATAGGGGTGAAGGCGGTAGACGAACTTTTGTTTTTTGCAAGTCGGTATTCAGACGAGGAACATCCATTGGGGAAAAGGTAGGAATATTTACAGTCAATGGAGCAGACATGACCATTCCGCCAGCAACTGGAGAAGCAGGAGTCATAGGATCGCTTTGTCTAGGGTTAAATATACATTTGATCTGACTGGGATTGGTAGGCAAACAAGCGGTTTTTGTGGCAGACGAGTGGTTTGAATGACGTGTCAGTGGAGTGGGGGGTAAAGGATGTTGCGGGGGGTATTTTTCTCGAACAGACGAACGAGTACCAGTATGAATAGAAAGAGGTGTTTGAAACATATGCGGAACTATTGCGTCGATTCAAATCCAAGTTAAAATAATTTGGTAAATTAAAACAGCTGATAACCAGTGAGTTGGTGGTTGGGTATAGAGTTGGTAGAAGCTAGGCTGAGGTCAACCAGTGCTAAGAAATGGGTCTGCTTGAAGTGGTATTTAAAAGAATGCTAGCAGGACAGTCGCTATAAGGGAATTGGGTCTTGGGAAGCCAAGTGTGGAGCGGGCTTGAAGAACGCTTGAACAAATAAACTTGCAGCGTAGCGGTGTCAAGAATAAATGGCAGGAATGTGACTACGGGTCAGCTAATGCGGATTATGTGGTTTCTTGTTGGAAAGCAAGGGAATGGCTTATTCACTATTTTCAGTTGGATGCAGCCAAGATACTTGGTGTTCAGTTTTTTTCAAAATGCGACTTTGATGGAGAGATCACTTGACGCAAATAGACGCAGCTACTGTAGGTTCAAACAGTTAGACTCAAAAGCTATTGTGCTGGAAACAGAGCTAGGTGATGGTAGTAGTCCTATAGACAGAATCGGAGTAGGACGGAGTCGAGTTTTTAAAAGAAAATTCACTTGAGGCGGGTTATCGGAGCTGAGTTGAACCACGAGATCTGTGAAATATTAAGAGTCAAATATTCTTTTGAAAAGTAAAATTCAAATGTTTCAAAGTTTTCCACGAGCAATAAACCTGGCCGGGCTGAAACTAGAGATGCGGATGTAAGAGCAGAGTTGGATCGGATCAAATGGGCTCTATTTAACAGACTAGAAATATCCAACCCAACCCATCCATCTTGGCTCATCTCTCACTTTGCATGACGCAAGGGTTAAGGTTATAGCTCGTGTTTGTATATTAGGGCTACGTGGTTTAGCAGTGGATGAGGCAGGGCAAAGGCAGTGATTGGGGTCGTGTTTTTAAATACATGCGTGATGGGGCTGACGTGACTGAGCGTGCATTCGCTAGTGGGGCGAGGTCGCGAAGTTGTTTTGTAGATGACAGGGAGTGGTGTGGAGAGTTGCTAGATATGATGGGAGTAATAGATATATTGCGTGGAATGGGAGAAACTCACGTTTCACAAAGAAATCGCTCAACTGAACAACTGGAAATTACACCGAATGGGTCTTTGAACTCGTCTAAATGTTAAAATTAGGCGGCCAACTAGATGATTCATTTACTAGTTATGAATCATGTGGTATATACTCTACTATTAAGCATATACAAAGATCTGGGCATAAGGACTAGAGCTTGCAGTAGGTGAATGCTTCAAGGCAGTTGAAATTTAGCCATACAGCTCGCATTTAATGCTGCAAACATTGAGGCTGAAGTTGCGCAACTAGACTTGGTAAAATGACTAAGCTATGATGTGCTCTTGGTTTTGGCTGAGCTGGAATATCTTGGTAAGGTAACACGAACAAATAACCAATTATCCGCCTATCCAAACTCGCTTGCAAAGTGACCGCATTATAATACGAAGGGATAAGTGAGGCCAAGGTAGATATACAACAAAGGAGCAAAGGGTGGTATGTTTGAGATAACAAAGTATCAAAAAGGTATGGTCACGCAAAATGATCTTTGTAGAATCATGCAAGTATGAGCCAAAAAATGAACAGTCAATAGACAATGTAGCACAAAAAGTGTCGTGAACAAGGTTTGTTTCAGCACAAGTACATGATTAACCAACTCCTAATCACATGCTATTGCAATATGAACATCGCGTTCAGCTAATACGGCATTCATGTCATGACTAAATCTTGCAAAGGTGAATATCGTAGACAAAGTGTCTAGATTGAAGTGGATATACTCTACTGACAATCCAATCTACATAAAACAGTGTACCCCTCGAGCTCTTACTATAGCACATGACGGATCACAAGCAGTAGTATTTACCACAAAACTTGATATTTCCAAAAAATATGCACACCTATCCCCTCGCACCTAGCTAGCTGTATATCTTTATATCCCTTCGGTTACCAAGTCTTAACTTGGACCACCATTCAAGCCCACAGCGCCAATCACTGCAAAGGAACTTGGTCCAATGCCCCTATCAATTACTCGAGTAAACAATTATATTGACCCACTCGTCTCGACTTTAAACATTACCCTGTATGGTCAGCATGTTATACTCTTGATTCCCTCGTAACAATTCAAGGCGTGATAGGTCATGCCTAAAAATTTGAAACATTAAACCTCTAAACAATAGGCTATCCAAGATTCCCTGCTAATGAATTACAAATATTGACTCGTTTAATTTCATGTAAAGATATTGGGAATGAACTGCTGGATCACTACTTGATCACAGTTGAAAACGGGTTTAAAGACGAATATTTCACACTACAACCTCACTGCAAGATCAATGAGAAACTCGTCATCTCTCTAGCTGTTTGTTTATCAGGGTATCTACACATTCTACTCTACTCGACTTTTTAATGGGCGATAGTATATTTCCCAAAGTGTATCGCATAGTTTGCAAACGCCAACGCTGAATTCTAACCCAATAATCTGTGGTCTTTACGCACAGTCCTAAATTATAACGGGAATGGTGCTCACGTAAATGAATAAACTCGCTTGGTTAATTCAGAATGATAATGTCCGGGTAGTACAAACTATGATATATATTCTTAATATAGAAATAACCCTTAGAATGATCGAGTAGATGCAACATGTTAGGTAATACAAAACGCATCTTTGATCAATGACGGTTCAACAGTTCTCCCAACTAGAAAACCACGCTGTTCTATCAATCTATTCGTTATACTAAATGTACTTCAATCACTAAGTGATCGTAAAATGATACTTGTAAACCATATCCAAATAAGGCTATAGAGTTTAGCCAGAAAACCCTTCAGACCTTTCTCCACAGTAAATAGTTTGAAGCAGGTGATTCACTGCTTCGAAACATTTGCTGTGTAGTTTAACCACTATGCCCTATTTAGATACGAACTGCCAGCTGAAATAACCCGAATAGCCTGCACTGCCAATTAGGTAATTCGGCTAGCCCAGCGTAATTTTATGCTATAATAAAGCAGCAAATGCAATACGTCAGCCGGCCGATCATAACATGTAAATAACTACGGTATGGCATCCAAACCTCTTCACACGATGTATACAAGCACTAGTCAATGTGTCAGCTAACTCGGCAAACCGAAGCCAAGACAGTATATCTGCTGTACTGTATACCTTGGCGTAATACGCATTGAGTAGGATACAATCCATAGCTTGGTGCTATCCAACGATCCTGTATCGCCATGAAAAACAGTTTAAATGCCGAATCAAACATGTACAAGAACATCCGATATATGCAAAAAACATTTTTATACATACCTGCCATATGACTGTTGGGTTTGTATTACAATATAACGTCATTGTATACCAATATTTGACTATTTCAAGCAGCAACATTATTCATTATGCATAATCGGCTTAATCAACTTTTATTTGTTTAGTGCTACTATTGGCATAATGGAATGGGTTTATATTCAAGCCAATCATGAATATCCAGTTTTAAAATTGTCAAATCTTGTATATACCACGTAGTGATGCATAAATACTGAGTTTTTTAATACTAAATATACGATATGAACAGGTTTTCAAGCACTGATATCGTTGACTCAAGCTGATTCTTAGCCCAACTATATCTCTGATGGCTATGCAGCTTAATCAACCCAACAAAACAATTCTGAATGCCTTGCCATCACCTAAAGCCGTGCAAATATGACTGACCGTTTATTATGTATTTAGAAGCCTTTATTTGGTGTTCCATTTACGCCAATACGGCTGTAATTTGTGGGAGTGCTTCAAATACATGACAATACACCTGTGACTGCCGTATTTCTTTTTCTTTTTCTCTCCATCCTCACCCCCTTTGTTGCTAGCCGTAAACAAGGAGTTCGATCTATAATATATCTATGCTTGATGGGTCTAGTAATTTATGTTCGGCATGTAAAAGCCAAGCTCAGTTTGCCAAAAAATGTGCTTTAAAGCTACATATTCATAGCTGTATATTCACGTAAAATGGATGCCAAATAGGGGTTTAAAGTATAATAAACAGTCAGTCTTGTAGAATGATTGGTGCTAATTCATACCAAACTTATTAGTCACATTGTGTTCTCTAAACTCGTCAACAAAGCTACGTATTCGACATGGCCTATCAATTAATCAACAAACAGCAATGTTGCAAGATAGAGCTTCATACTATCCATTAAACTCGCTGAAAATATAGTAATGGTTTTGTATAGCGTCACTCCATACAGAGAATGGTTATTCAAGTCGATTTCTGGTAGAAAAGTACAACTGATGTTTAATGATTGTTTATTCCAGATCAAACAAGACTGCATGGACAAGTGTTTTATTCTACGTGAATACGGCTGTGATCGTATTGATTGCCAATATTTTTATAAAATAGCGTCATTACTCTGGTAAAAGTAGTCAATGGGTCATTTTGGCCATTGAAATCTGGCTCAGCTGTTGGTTTCATTCTTGCCTAAACCAATACATTGCTAAACCACTAACATGAGAATTATCAGAATTGAGAACGAGGCAGACTTTGATAGTACCATCAAAGCCACTGTTGCCGAAGCCAGTGGCCGAGTGTTTGTCCTGCTTTTTGGTACTGAAGCTCCCGCTACTGGACAGTCCTGGTGCTCTGATTGCGTAATTGGTAAGTCGACACTACATGATTATTGGTCTCTCTTATTCTCAGACTCGTTCAACTAGTGTAGCATTTAGACTTGCTTGACTATCAAATCAGATTCGCTGCTATATCTGGCCATGTGTTTTTTCAATTGCTGAAATCGGCCTAGCTAATAATATTGCTTGTGTTGAATAGCTGATCCTCTGATTCGCAAAAGCATTGCCAAGATCTCTGATGCGGTCTTGATTGAGGCACCTGCTGGCTCTCGTGGTGCAGAGTAAGCCGTCTCGCTAGATGTTGAATACACAACTAAAATAGTCTCATTTGAATGACGCATCTAAACTTGTCTGGTTTTAGCAATCAGTATTGTGCTTTGACTATCTTCTCACTAGGTATATCTAACTTGTTTTTTGGCAACATTTTGAATTGGTAGGTATCGGTCAAGCAAGTATCACGATCACCCAGATATCAAATTGATGGCAGTTCCAACACTCATTGAATGGGGAAAACAAGGCCCACTTAAGCGACTTGTGGAGGAAGATTGTGCTAGACAAGATTTGCTGGATGCTTTTTGCCAGTGATTTGAAAGCATACGAGTAAAAATAGCTTGATTAAAAATCTTATATGATTGCTAAACAGCAATCAACCGACTAATGAAGCCATTTGGTCTGAATAAATCGAGACATTATGTGTTACTTGGGATAGTATCTAGTGATTCAACTCTGCACCTTTTAATGTTTTGATACAACCAGCTTATACCACAGTCGTATTCACGTAAAATCAGCCATTAAGAATACCAATTTCTAGTAGAAAACACGACTGATGTTTAAATATTGTATATTTGAACAAAATAAAGGTTGCTGCAAGATAGACAAGTGTTCCGTTTTACAAATGCGATTGTAAAATACATAATTAAACGTGTGGATACATTTATCCACGTCGGGTTTCCGTATCACAATCAAAAATCCTGACAGCCAATAAAACGTGCATTGATCCAGAACACGAATAAAGTAAGGTGCTTTACGAAATCACTCAATATAAACCATTAATTAAAATTCAGCAGTGCGAGGCAAGACAAAGTATATATTTGTACTTTTTACAGCCATGGATGTACAAGGTGGATTTCGGACAAGATCGCGATTAAAAGGCAGATAAGCTAGATTAGATGGGGTGGATGCAGAGATCTGTACCAAAATCACCTTGTTAGATATATTACTCTCCACGCAAATATGTGTACATTTAGCAGATAGAGTATAAAATATGGCGCTTGTTTCACTATTATGTCCCTATATACTTTCTACTTTACAAGACAATAAGTGCGATTGCTATTTGGCAGCCTTTTTGTTTATTATCCATCCCTTTTATATTTCATATATCGACTCTTTCTATTCTTCGTTTGTTGCCTTATTCTACATTGATTTACATTTACAAAAATGACTGCTGGGCGGACTTCAGAAGAGTCCGACACGAGCGGGTTTACACTTCACGATGACACAAATAATGCTCCTAAATCATTTGGTAAAGACATAGAAAAGCAAGGTTTCCCTGGACCTGTAAGTCATGCAACTACAGCCGACACTTGTCGTACAAATACAGGAAACACAAATGCTGTAATGGCTTTGCTATCTGAAATGTGGCTATTTCATATCATCTTCATTCTTGGCTTTACATATCTCATGACCTTCCACCTCCCACAGTACTATGTTGATGATCAGTTGTGGAACTATGGTTGTTATTGGAAACTTGGCTGGATCATGCCTTTGCCCTATACTCTTATATGTTTTTTCGGTCTTGCTCTCCCCTTTCGTACTACAAAATTTATTATTCGCGATCCTACCACTGCACGCCGCGTGGATAATCTCTACATTCTTACTGTTACCAAGGGCGATAATTTAGAAGCGGTTATGCGATCGTGGAATGCTCACAAGCACCTAGAGGCTCTTGATCCCTGTGTTCGAGTGCATGTTTTAACTGACGAGCCTCACTTTATTGAAGGCATCAATTGCTTCACATGTCCCAAAAGCTTTCAAACTCTTCATTCCAAATACAAGGCTCGTGCACTAGAATGGTATCGTCAGAGCATGAAGTACACTGAGCACGACTGGGTACTCCATCTTGATGAAGAATCGGTGATTGACGACCAATCTGTGTTGCGCTGTTTAGATTTCATCAAATACGAGCACGATTACCATTGGGGCCAGGGTGTTATTCTATACAATCAATACAGGTACTGGCGTAATTGGCTTTTCACCGTGGCAGATGCAATTCGAGTTGCTGATGATTTGGCTCGCTTTCAGCTGCAATACACCTACTTCCACCGACCAGTATTTGGCGCACACGGTTCCTTTTTGCTCATGAATGGTGCAGTCGAGAATGCTGTCACTTGGGATCTTGGATCTTTGACTGAAGACTATCAGTTTGCAACCTCGGCATGGCAAATGGGATACAAATGTGGCAAGATTCCTGCTCTTGTTCGCGAACAGTCACCCATTGATTTGATTGGGTTCCTCAAACAACGTCGTCGATGGTATGTTGGTATCCGTCGTCTTCCTATGCTTCTCCCCAAAATCTGGGCCGCCTTTTGGACCCTTGGTATTTTTGCTCTCTATGGCACGATTGCTTCTGTTTTTCTTGGTATCTGGATTCCTCTTGGTACACCTCGTTGGTTTGGTCTTCTCAAAGACTTTTCGTTTGTCACGTTTATTTACTTGTACTTACTGGGTATCTTTATCCAAGAGGTAGATCGAAAAACCAACCCAATTATGATATTTTTGCGGTTGATCGTGACAGCAGTGTTGCAGTTTATTGCTTGTGTGATAGAAGCCATGGCAATCATGTACGGCATTATTTTCCCTCCTGCCGACTTTGATGTCATTCGAAAATAAAGTCCATTTTTGGCTTTGTGATTACCAAAAACTTGTTCATCTTTTACACTCATTCACGTAAAACATTAAAAGTGCCAAACTACATAATAAACATCCAATTCCATGAAATGATTGTCGGTTTACTAGACAGCATTGTGTTTTTTAAACATGTTCGTTGGTCCTCTTGATGACTGGTATGGAAACAGGCGCGAAACATGATATTTTAGGACCATCTTGACTCAAAACTAGTGTGTATCATACAATGGCTGCTGCGTTTGAAAGAATCGAGAGTGTCTAATAGGAAAGCGCAACAAGTATTCAAGTATTTTGTATTCCAACGCAAAATAAAGGTCATTGCGATATAAATACAAGTGTTCCATTTTACATGAATACGACAGTAAAACACTGTTACTTTGATCTTATCCAAGTTGGCCAATGTCGACATATGTCAGCTCATCACCTGCAGCCCATGATGGTCAAACAGCATGCATTTCCAAGCAAATATGGGATGGCACAGTTCCACTATCAATATCCATACCAGCACACTCGACCAATTTCTATGCAAGTATCTGAATAGACTTGTTGGATCATCTCTTGTTTCAATACAATACTATTTTGCAATGTATTTCCAACAGTCTGGTTAGCATTGCTATTTTATCCATTATAAATGTGCCTAACTTCAAGTCCACCAATTAGGTACTTGCACGGAGATGTTCATATTTGCCCCTCCTTCTCATACAAGTCAAGTCCTATCTATGCGATAAACTGAAATTATCCATAAAAGTCGACGATGCAGAGATTTGGTTTTCAGCAAACGGCATTCCATTAAAATGGCAAGTGCAGTTTCAATTCGATTCGCAGGTTTATATACACCAACAGCGATCATGCAATACTGACTTGCTTCATTCGGAATGAGTTAACTCGTTGGACATTGTAGGCATTATCCGATTGGTCTCTTGTTTGATATCTATTCATTGTCGACACAAAAATCAAAACCTATCCAATTGCCTTGGAATATTGCAATGCATTATACCGATTTTCCATCCGATTCGCTTATCACTATGGACGAAGAGGGATGTGGACCAAATACACTTCGAGATCATTTTATGGGAATGATCAAACAGGTATTTCAGTATGAGATCCCGTTTTATCGATTGACGTGTGATAAAGCGTATCCCACTTTGCATTCATCAACTCGACTTCAATTTAATACCATGATTTGAAATCGTTGTAGGCAGACTATATGCGCAATGGATCAATTTCTCGTGTGATGACATTGAGTACCCAAGATCAAACACAACTCTGGGATAGTATTGGTGTTGGTAAGAGTTAAAGGGTTGATTGAAATAGTTGGATTCTACTTTCTTTTATTCTAGTCTTGTTTAATTCGTTACGGTTGATGGAATTTAGGTCACCATGATTTGTTTTGGCAGGTTAATTCGGGACTTGTGTCGGATACTTTGCCAAAACATATCCCAGTGCGGATATACATGCTTTCAAATGCCATATCGGGGATACGAGCATTCACTGTATTGCAAGATTTGTATTCACCGTATTTACCAGATGGACAGACAGAAATGACAGCAGGAGATATGGGATTGATGGGAACATTGATACTGCATGGTGTGGTTGTACCACCAGATATGGGTTTACTATGGTTGTCTAGACACGCATCATATTCCGACGGATTTTTGCATTTTGTGTTCTATACCGACTGATGCAGCCTGTAAAAGTATATATTTGAAAAAGATGATTCTTTTATTATGAGTTTCTTGTAAAAACAAATATACAGACTCTATTTTAACGGCCGATCGAATAAAAATGGCAACCCTTTTTCCTTATTCAACACCAGTCGTTGTCGCCACATAATCCCTGTGATTGCGCCATCATTGGTATGATCCGAGTCCAGCTGACATCCTCCAGTTTTTTGTGAATCTCCATAACAAATTTGTGCAGACGATAGGTTTTTTTTCATGGCTGCTTGTCCATACATTTTAGTTAGTGTCAGCGGGTTATGGTTTGGATCTGTATCAAACATGGCCCAACTGCCAACACTTTTCTGTCGAAGACGATGCCGTAATGTGCCGCCAAGTCGTGTAACTGAATGTGGATTCTCTTCGTTTCCAAAGTTTTTGCGATACCATCTCGATGAAGATATTGTGGTAGAGTTGGTGGTTGTGTTGGATGGATTATCAGAATGTGCAATCGATGATATGGGAAGCCAGTCAGAGTATAATGCCGTGTAAGGTGTATTATGTGGAGTATCACCCATCCACACCTCCAGAATCGACGTGTCCTGTCTCATAAGATCCATGGCTTCTTTGAAAACAGGCTTTTGAACAATAGTTGAATGGGCAGATTTTCTTCCTGGTACACGAAACCTTGTCTCCCACATATCTTCCAGGTAAAGAATAAACTCGGCATTGGTTCCACAGAGATGTGTGGCTATATCGATCATTTGTGCCAATGTAGTGGTTCGAGACACATACTTGACTTCATCCAGCAGGTTGTAAAAGTCTTTAAAGTAGACAGACTCTTGTTGCTTGTCGTCACCCACACTTGTGATACGTTGTGATACAAACACCCATTTGTAGGTAATGTTCTTGTCAACAATGTTGAGAAATTGTTGAATGGAGTGAATGGTTTTACGTAGCTGAGGCAACTCGCCATTGAAATGAGTGACTGCAATACAGATGTCAACCTGTTTATTAACAAGGCTATTTACACGAGGTTTACGAGTCTAGATGGCAGTTAGAAGAGTAGAAATTAGTGCAGTTCTATTTGAAAATTAGTATAATCAACAACACCATGAAGCTTACAGGTTGAAAGTAGTTTAGACTTGGAAGTTCTGGGAATAAGTTGTCATTGATGCGTTGCTGCAGATTGTGTCGAACAAGAGGAGCAAGATACCCAATGCCGTAATCCTTCGTTTCCATTAAAAACTGATCTGCAGGACGATCATATTCTATATTGTAATTACTGTTTTCGGCAGCCTTTCTGTTTTGGCCCAGAATAGACCGGTATTGATAATGGTTCATAGTGAGAACACTTTCCATGCTACTTATGCTACGAACCTTTGCGTTTTTATCAAAATACCACGAGTGAACCCAGGTACCAGCAGGGAGATATGCCTTGACAAACGCCTTTTCACAGTGAATACGACTACGAATATGTGCTTCGCGATTACGGTCGCTGGTATAGCTGCGACGATGTCGGTACTGTTCCATGACCATAGGAAAAGGCATCTCTTTTGTGACGGGTGTTGGATCGTCCATAAATCCGCTTGTGCCAAATATATGTCCCTGAACAACAATCTGGTCATAATAATGGTAGTTTTGAGCAAGTATATCTCGAACCGTCACAATGCCATCCAATCCACTTTGTCCAATCTAGTGAAAATAAGAGTAGTGTGTACAAAAAGCTAAAGCATTAGTAGCTGGCTTATCACCCATATACATGTGGGTTAGCACTTGGCCAGTGATGACATACCTTTTTTCGAGAATAGAAAAACTCGTCAATATCTGCATGCAATACCCAAACGGATTTGTGACGATATCGAGCAATAGTATCTATGGCAGAGGACTTTTGACATCCACCATGAGCATGCAAACTACCCCGTTTTGGCCGATTAAGGCAGTATAATTTGTACATTGTGTTGAACGTATCTTCTTGAAATTTTGTATCAAACACTCTAGGACCGGCTTCGGAATTGTGAACCGCTTCACCATCTTCTGGCCACCGAATATATTCCACAACGTCCATTTGAATGTATGGGTCAAGTATGGCTTTTAGACCATCAGTACTAGCATCGTCGTATATCACGAATCGATCAAAGCCCTGCAGCAGGTGAAACTCGATCCATTCTGGAACAAACCTGGCCTTGTTATGAATCATGGTAGTGACAACAAGAAAGTATGCATTTTTCCTCCGTGGCCACTTTTTGATGCGGATATAGTTGTCATAGTTGTAGCCATCAATCGGCAGAATCGGATTCGAACTATTTCCAGTCTCTGATAGGTGGAATTGAGAGTAAGGTGATTCACCTTCGTTATAGTGAATGGGTGACTTGAGACCATTAGGCATTCCCTCATTTAAAGTATGGTCTGGGTTTTGGCGAATGTCATCCGGTTTTTCTAATGGACGGTTAGATTCGGGAGCATTGTCAGACGAGGTCGGCTTTGCACGGCTCAGGTCGTCTTGAATAGTTACAGAGTTCTAGTTGGGTCGATTCCAATATCATTTGTACGAGTTGGAGAATACATGAATACCAAATTTGGTTTGATCAATTAAAGTATCAGCTGTTAGTATAGCTTCAATGTAGCCAAATAGTAACATGTGGTAAATTGAGTTAAATTTAAACTTGGCTTTGAGGTTTAAAGCATTCCTGCCGAATTGAACCTCGAGCAGCATGGATTTAACCATCTCCAAATGTGAAATTGATGCCTGATTGGCAACTCGATTCATTCACAAACATCAACGATTAGTGATTACCTTCCAAGTGGATTCAGAGTAGTTGGCTACAGCAACGATGATTTGATTTGGCTGTGACAAAGTGTTTGGAGTAACGCTGACTAGCAACAACCATAGGGTTACAGATATAATAATCGATATAAGCACAAGTATGTCCCATCGACGGATTCCACATGCAGCTCTCATTATATTTTTGGTCATGAGCGCTTGAATTTTGTACAGGTTTTTAAAACAGATGCTGAGTAGACTAACAGGGCGAATGCATCTTTTATAATATTCGATTCATGTCGGACCAAATATCCTGCAGCGAACGGGTCGCGGATTTGATGTCGGGTCAATTATGGATTTAACTTGATCCGCGTTTCAAATGCAGCTTTGCTATTGCCTTGTTGAAAATAAATTGGTAGACTTGTGAATGACATGCATTGTATCTTGTAACCAAGTGGCATATTGACGACATGAGCTTGGATGTGGATCCGGCCAGTACGGTGGAGGTGTATTGTATTTCCCCAGATAAATAATGTATTACAATACAAGTCGAAAGTATGGCTGATGGTCGAATCAATAATGGCGCTTGGTTAAACGGTGACATGTCTGAATACTTGGCATAACTAATATGCCTCTGTAAATAATTTAAAAATAGTGCTTGGGAATTATACAGTTGTGCTATTGCCGTTGATATCAGCCGTATTGGAAATAGTTATGCCATTATTGGACTTGAAGTATGCATTTTCAGACTATCCACTTGACATGCACCCTGCTGACCTTTCAGCCTCAGCAACATTGATTGGCTTCAATTCATAAATCTTTGATACTTTTTTCTTGATGTGTGCAGGACAAATGCGCTACAAAAAATCGGGCTTTGAACACAACCTCATTGTTTAAAATAATGCTTCAATGCACCGTCTAAACAATTGATCAGATACTTTAGTTGCAAATTTACTAAGCTACTTGTGTATTATTCAATAGGTCAGACTGGGTCTATCTAAGCAATAGAACAGCCTGAATAAGCAGTGGTTACCACACAAGTAGTTTTTATGATTGTTTGGTGGCAATTGGACCTAGTGTGGCTTGATACAAGCTAGAGATCAAACAGGTGTTGGCTTATCAACTGTTTGGGCTTGATTCATTTGCATAGGAGCTGCTACTAGGATTTTCCCTCGGGTGTAGGCTTGATCAACCCATCTTGACCCAAACAAAACTTGGACAGTAACGTGTTCTTGGATGATCAAGGCCATCTTCACTCTTGTATGTACTTGAAAAAATAAACTGCCACATGCCTCTCATGTTCAGGACAGATCCCAACTTCAAACTACCAAGATTTCGTTTGTCAACTATCAAAGTATTGGTTATATACAAACACGATTTTCAATTTTTCTGTAAGGGGCCACTGGTCTAAGGGTTATGATTCTCGCTTCGGGTGCGAGGGGCTCCCGGTTCGAGTCCGGGGTGGCCCCTTTACGTTTTTTGTTCAGCTGCTATAAAATGTCCAGTTGAAATCTGCACGATAAAAATTCGATACTTTATTTTCGCAATATAGTCATGAATAGAGCTTAAAGTTTGGCTTTGGATGATCCGCCAAGTTTAAGAACTACATCCAGTTTAGTTGCTAGACTCATGTTTCCTTTGATCTTGATTTTACCAGACATGAATGCCTTTTGAGGATTAAGGGTACCAGCAGCAACCTGTAGAAAATCTTGGTCCCCAACAACCACAGTCATGTCCGCTTTGCTAGGAGGTGTGCCAGCTCCAACCTTTCCATCTCCATTCTAAAAATTCGTAAAATAAAATCAGCATATAGATGTCAGTTGAACAGCACGATAGGGTTTAGTCTATGCAATCCAAAATAAATGGGTTTACCTTGAGATCTACAAACCAAGACTGAGTCTTGCCATTGCTGGTTACGTCAAATCCAAACACCGCATTAACCTAAAATGAGTGTATTGATTGTCAGTCATCAATATCAACCTTTTGTAATGCACACCACTCAATGGCAGTTCAACATTACCTTTTTGATTAATGCTGCACGGGCTGGACCGGCAGTTGATTTAAGTCCAGCTTCAATTTGCTCGAATACCTTGGACGCAGCAAATCCTGGAACCATCACACCGGCAGGAACAGGATCAGCACTGACAGATACAGTACCCTCTACAACAAAAGGTTGATCAGCACATCAGACGTGTAGACATTACGTGTAGGATGTTAAAATCCATTACAAACCATTTAGTTCTACAGATGCATTGGATATGACTACTTCGTTGCGCTCAACGACACGAGTAATAAAAATCACTTTGGAACCTTCTTTCCACATGTGCGTCTCCAAAGTTTCTCCTGGAAACACATGCTTGGTAAAGCGAGCTTTGATAGACTTGAATTTTGTGGGGTCGTTGTTGGCATACTTGGCAAACACATGCTTTCCAGAAATACCAAAGGTGGCAAGTCCATGCAAGATTGGAATCTTGAAGCCTCCCATGGCTGACATTTGGGGATCGATATGAAGAGGGTTGTAGTCACCAGAAAGACTAGACAACTTGATGTTAGCTAGTAAGCATACAACACACCATTCTTGATTCAAACATAAATTTACCGGTATAAAGCAGCTTGATCATCATACGTCTTTTCACGAGTGATATGGTCTGGAGCACGTTTGGGTGGGTCATTTGCAGCAGTAGCAGCTCCTCGTTCGCTGTCCTTCTTACCACCAAATCCGCCAGATCCACGGATAAAAAAGGTGAATTGATTTTCAGTCACAACATCACCACTGGAATCTTTTGTAGTAACGCCAAGAATGACAGCAGCACCTTTGCCCTTGTCAAGAATATCAATAATCTTGCCAGTGGAAGTCAATTTTCCAGCACTAGCCAATGGTTTCTTAATCTCCAAATACTGTTCTCCATGAAGAAGCATCATAGGATTGAAATTGGGCAAATAGTCGCCAAAACTGACATGACGAATCTGATAATCAAACGCTGGAATAACTCCAAATGTTGGAATAACGGTAAATTTGTCCGAGGCTTCGTAAACAAGATCCAGATCGGTTTTTTTTGCACCAACACCAAGAGCATATATAATGACATCTCTGTCGGTATATTCAAATGATGCAGATTTAAAACTCGCAGATTTAGCACCTTCAACATCAACGCCCCCATCACTTTTTTTTAAAGTGGCAGACGCTTTGTTTTCAAAATTGGCTTGAACAGCAGAAAATGAATCCTGAGTTGATGTTGGATAGGTTGCACGTCCATCTCCAAAGTTGGTGATGGTATCCCAACGCGATTGAATGTGCTCTGGAAAAAGTGGACAGTCTACAGGAAATCCGACACCACCTGTGCGCTGCCAGCGAACCTTGGAAATCCACCCAGATCCAACTTCAAAAATAGAGCCCGTATCAGTGTTGGACTCGTGGGCCAAAAAAGCAATCAAGGGTGCAACATATTCAGGCTTGAGTGCCTCCACCATCTCAGGAGGCATGACTGTCGCAGTCATGCGAGTACCAGCATTAGGAGCAATTGTATTCACAATAATGTTGGATTTCTTTCCTTCCAATGCAAGAGTATTTGAAAGAGCAATCAACCCAGCCTTGGCTAAATGGTTCAGGAGCAATCATTCCAAACACAACACGAGTTCAAGATATGTGAGCAGTGTAATCAATTGTTGTAGACTAGTATTAAATCCAAGATCAAACAACATACCAGCACTGTAATTTGCCTGTCCAAAATTTCCATACAGGCCAACAGCAGATGAAGTATTGATGATGCGACCATACTTTTGCTTGAGCATATGCGGCCAGGCAGCCTTGGAAACTTTGTAACTTCCTCGCAAATGGACACGGTGGACAAGATCCCAGTCACTCTCGGCCATACGGGAAAATGACTTGTCACGCAGAATGCCAGCATTGTTGACAACAATATCAACACGTCCAAATGCTTTGAGTGCAGTTTCGACAACTTTGTCGCCTTCTTCGACAGAGTCATAATTGGCCACAGCCTTTCCACCGAGTGCCTTGATTTCTTCCACTACCTTGTCTGCAGCTGCATTAGCACCGCCAACACCATTGGTCGAGCCTCCGAGATCATTCACCACCACAGAAGCACCAAGCTAATTCAAATACAAGACATTACCAACACGGTCAATTAAAAACCAATAAAATCAAAATCAAAACCAAATGCAAATCCAAGACAAAGTTGGATGAAATACCTTGGCAAACAAGAGTGCATAGGTACGACCAATACCGTTTCCAGCACCAGTGACGATTGCAACGCGTCCGTCAAAGCGAAGACTGGTTGGATTAGGGTTTTCAGGAAGTGCCTTGGCTTTTTCCAGAAGCCCAACCCAATCTGTGTCCATAATAGATGTTGGATAATCAGGATGAGAAAAATCAGAGATTTGCGTCCATTTGGCACCTACAGATGCAGGAGTAAATGTAGCATCTGCTTTGAACACGGCGCCTTTTGATCTTTCCCAGCGCAGCTTGGAAACGAACCCAGCACCAACTTCAAAGAGAGATCCATTCTCAATGCAGGAATCATGTGTCAAATAGGCAACCAATGGAACAACAAACTCTGGTTTCAAAGCAGCAAGCATGTCTGGAGGCAAAACTGTCTCGGTCATTCGAGATGCCGCAAGTGGTGCAATGGTGTTGACCAATACATTTTTGCGGGCTCCTTCGCGTGCAAGTGCATTGGAGAATCCGAATAGAGCAAGCTTGGCTAATTTAGCAAATGTTTGATGAGTGGATCTTTGAATATTAAGCAAGTTTTACCAAGTGGCATACCTGCACTATAGTTTGCCTGTCCAAAGTTTCCATAAATTCCGGCAGCAGATGCAGTGTTGATGATTCTATTCATCAATAGTATAAAATAAAAAGATTAACACTCATTTCAAGGTGTTGGCTATGCAGTAAGCTTCTGTACTATTGGGTTGAATGAGTCGAATTACTTGCCTGCCATGACCTTGTTTGAGCATGTGATCCCAGGCAGCCTTGGTGACTTTGTAAGCACCCTTGACATGCACCATCTGAATCAAATCCCAATCGGCATCTGTCATGCGTGAAAAGGATTTATCTCTCAAAATGCCAGCATTGTTGATGACAATATCAATGCGTCCAAAGGCCTTGATTGCAGTTTCAACAATGTTTTCACCAAACTCCACAGAGTCATAGTTTGCAACAGCCTTTCCACCTGCTTTGCGAATTTCGTCGACAACAACATCAGCAGCCTAAATAAACCAGTTAAAATATAATCTGTATAGTTGGATTTGATAATGATGTACTCTAGATCTGTTTATACAGAGCAGTTGGTAATTTAAACCTACACGATGGTTTCCAGATGCATCACCACCAATGCGAGTGCTGCCAAGATCATTGACCACAACGGACGCACCTGCATAGAGTTGAACAAAAGATTAAATTGGTTTGAATGGCAGGGGTTAAAGCAATACAAACAGTAGATTCAACAGATGAACAGCACACTTGCCTCGAGAAGCAAAAAAGAGAGAGTATGCCTACAACAATGTCAGTACAGGAATATAGGGGTGAACAAGCAAGTTTAGATCTCAAGATGGCAGTTTGAATCATGATTGCATTGAATATTGCAGTTTGATGAATTTGACAGTTTCTAGACATGATTCTTCAAGTGGTTCAATGTATACAAGAGTCAATCATTACAAAATCTACTCTTGAGAATAGAATACCTTTCCAAGACCTAAAGTAACGAGTGGTTGATACTACAAGTTAATAAGGATTTACAGGGTTTGATTCGAGAATAGTCCAGGATAACAGACTGTAAAACATGAATGCATACCACCCCCAGCACCAGTGATGAGTACTACACGATTATCGAAACGCAGTTCAGCCATAAGAAATACTCAAGTCAGGGTAAGAATGTTTACGAATTCACGTTTTTTATTGGAAATTCACTCGTCCAAAAGCCTGTTTCTTGCTGCCCTGCGAATCCGTTCTCCGTATGAATTGGGATCTCGTCCATTGGCCAACGTTTCAGTCAAATCTGCTGTACTCATGACAACTGACGCTCCAATTCCTGCTCCTGTTGCATATGCTTTTGCTTCAACAGGCGCTACTATTCCTCCACCATCTGCTCCCAGTCCTTGTCCTGCTTTCCATCCCATCTTTTGTAGTAATCGATTACCAATATTATCCTCTCCAATCTCTGTCCTATAAATACATCACAATTAGTCTTGAAATTCCATTCGCGTTCGACTGTTTAATGCATTTCAACTGCACCTTGTATTGGCTGATACTGTGGTTTTGTTCCCCTGAATAGGTATCATGTTTGCGCTATTCTTTTGGCTCCATTGCTGCTTCTTCCATCGCTTCTTGTTGCTTTGCTGTTCGCTCTTTAATTGATCACCAAGTTCTTGTAGCTGCTTCTCTCTAAGATTCTGCATATTGGTCTACATCCAATATTATATTCTTTAGATTCATAGTTCTTATACAATCTTTCCATTGTGTTTTACCTTGTGAAGTGCTGATTTCGCTTGATGCTTTTTTAAATCGTCAATTGATTTAAACTGTCGCTGACAAAGCAAACATGCCATGATGGCTAAATCACTGTGAATCTCATTCACTGCATTTTCTGTCGGTAACCTCTAAAGATTGAATTAGTATTGGCATGCTATACAAACTCATCCCAGCCTTGTTTACCATCATGAGCACATCGTCAGTAATCAGATCGCTACTACGATCTGTTGCTGTTGCATCAAAATCTTTGAGTTCCGCTTGCTTGGTTTGCCACTTTTCAAGCTGGATCGAAATCTTACTGTTGGTGTTACTCCCTGACGCTTTCTTGAGTTTTTTGGCAATTGGAAAAGACTTGGCCATTGGCTCATTTGTGGCTTCTACAACACCAACTGTTTGTGCTGTATTGGATACAGACGTCTGTGTACTGATTTTATCATGAACTGGCTCTGTATCAATCCCTCCCTCCAAAACTTGCTTGGGCTGCAAACATACTGATTGTGCATCTACAAAAGTGGAATCCATGTCCTTGGTGCTAGTATAAAATGCTGCCAATTCATCATCTAGTGTTGCAGAATTTTGCGGCATCCTTACCACAGTCGCGGTGTCTGAATATACTCCAGAATTAGCCAGATTATGACTGCAGCAGATTGAACATTTCACATACATACCTGGTATAGCTTGTGGCGTTGTGATGGGTGGGATGGTAGATGGGATTTGAACAGATGGGTACTGCACTGCATAGGCCTGTTCATCCCAATACGACACTTGAATGATTTTCCCATCTTTGTACACACTAGATACCCACAGAGATGCTGTATACACAGGTATAAAACTACCCATATGTGCATACGACACAGAGATTGTGCAGCCGTCAATCACCAATGGACGTGGCTCCATCATATTGTAAATGCTTCCAAGAAAGCAGTCGGCTTTATCCAACCCCGAAAACTCGGCAAATGCGAATCCCAAAGATGTGCGTGTTTGACGATCCTTCACAAGTCGTACACCCACCAGTGGTACTATTCCATTTATATGTCGATAGAGCTGAAATGTACAAGATCAAAGAGGGTTTAAAGTATACATGTATAAAATTTTGTCAGTCTAGTTGCGGAATAACCATAAATACAGTCAGGCTAATGGTTCGTCAAGAATTTATGATTGTACAGCCATACAGTGTCCTCTGTCGTGAGTGAATCTAGACCTCGTAAAAGCAGCAGTGGATTGGGAATATCCCCAATATCGCGACTGCCGTCATTGATTAAGAATGTAGATTCCAATCGGGTATTGTCCCCTGACATGGCTTGAGTGGGTAAAGAACCACATCGAAAGCATTTTCCTCGTCGCTTGAAATTGCATGTGTTGCACTAGAACCATCAATTTGGACATGATTTTAGAGGACAAGGGTTAGATTCCAATTGTACTGTTCACATCTCAAGACACTGTTTGCATACTCGATTGCAGATCCAGTCAGTTTCTTCAGATCCCATGGCACCTTTCTTGAGCTCGATTCCAACCACAGAACCACCAATATTTACACTAGGAGAGTGTCTTGAGACCCATTCTCCAGCTGCATCAATACTAGGGAAAGTAACAAAAGCAAATCCGCGAGATAGTCCAGAGATTCGATCACGCACCACTCGAATACTTTCAACCATGACGTCTTGAAAAGTAAACATTTGTTGAATCTAGTATTCAAATGATTGGATAGCCAGTCGTACAAAGCATCCAGATGATCCAATCCGGGAGTAGTAGTGCGAGTTCAAGGTACAAAAAGTAAAGTGGAATGAGTTCAGAGAAACATGCGTCAATATTGGATCTATGATCGAAGCCGACATTTCAGGAAACACTCAGAATATTTTGTTTGAAAGCATATTTATGCCCAAACTTCAAAACTAAAACAGCTGGAATCAAGAATGAGATTGCATACGGTTTCTTCGGTGATATCCAATGACAGGTTTCGAAGATATACACATGAAGTTGTAGCGCGAAGACCAGACCTGGAAGTCTATCAACATATGATATTAGTAAAGATTAGAGTGGAGTTAGAGTTCAAGACACAGTAGAACGAGTAAAAAGCACACCTCTTCAGAATAGCCATATGATCGATCATTGGGTTCATTGTGGTTAGTATATCGGTCATGCCTCCAATCCTCATTGCGACTGTATCGTCGCTCCTGACTCCTGCTTCGACTCCGGCTTCTACTTCTGCTCCGAGTTCTCCTCCTGTAAGAACTTGGACTTGGACTTCGACCCCTAGACCATCGGTCAGCACCATCAGTTTCATCATTACTAAATCGATGACGGTTGTAGTAGTTTCCCCTGTTGCTGCTGATGGGACTCCTGCTACGGTTGCGAGTGCAACTCCGAGAAATGTGTCCAGTAGTACTATACCCAGCATCACTATGAGAACCCATTGTGTTGCATGTCGAGTCCTGATACTCGGCAGAATGACTGTTTAGACTATCGCCAGTCATGAATGCAATTCACTGTTGAATAAAGTTTTCAAAATATTCAGCTTTAACGATTTATTTCTTGACTGCAAAATCGATAATTTCACCAGCAAGACAATCTGATTTTTATTCAATGGTTAAGACTTGTTTTTGAACTTGTTGTTGAAGTTGTTGTTAAACTTGTCGAGCTTCAAGAATCTTTTCAAAAATACTCACAAATGTCTGTGAGGATTCAGCACCGCTTATCTAATAAGAATATAAAAGAGTTAAAAACTAGTTCAACATTCATCTTGTAAACTGTTGGCATACTTTGTATTCTTCAATCTCAAAATAAGGCACGCCATTCACACCCTTTTGCAGAGCCTTTTGCTGCAGTCCTTTGACAACATCTGCGTTTTGATCAGTCTTTAGATAAGCAATCGCTTCATTCCGATCACCACCAGCTGCTGCATAAACATCAGCAAGTACTTGATCATCACCAATATTACGTTCATGTTCGTGATATGCGCTGAATAAACCTTCCGAGACTTTATACTGGATTCCCTTTTGTGCTGCAAGGTAGAGAATACGATGTGCGTCCAGTGTGCTAGACAACGTATAAAATGTGTTAGTCAACAGTCGTTGGATCAATACTAGACTCGTCTTACTTTGATCGGTTTCCACCAAAACGAAAGGCAATGTTTTCTTCTTTGCCTAGATCAGCCATACGAGCATTCATACTCGCTACGGCAGATGCACCAAACTTGTTTGCTAAATACTCGACTTTGGGAATACCTTGTTTGGTCAATCCGTTCTTACCACCAAGCTAAATTCAACTTTATTAGTCTACAGTCATGACAACTATCACATGTATTCCTATACCTCAAATGGAAGATACTTGATATCAAATATCACATTGTCATGACTTTGTGCCTTGAATGTTGTTATGGCAGTTTCCAGTCTGCGTTGACCAACAAAACACCACGGACATACAACATCTGATGTAATGTCAATCTTAATCGTAGTTGTCATGATGCTTGAATAAAGAGTAAACCCTGGTATGCGATCGAGGTCGTATTTACCCTTGAAGTTGGGCTGAAAATCAATTGCATTGAATTCAAGAAATCCTACATTCAGATCTCAAGGTTTGTATGTGGAATTCAATCAGGCTTGAAATTAGACAACATTGTATATTTTATTATGTCGAGTAAGGAGTTGGCACACACTTGAGTTTCAAATCAGTAATAAAACTGCCAAAATTAAAAACTTGACTAATGAAATGATAAATTGCTCACTTTGATCCAGATAGTGCAGTTTTAAAACGAAGATACAAAATTCTGTGCATTTGATTTGAAAAACGAAACTGATGTGGCTGTATTGACAGCAAGAACTAGTCGGCGAGGATGGAATGCAAGGGAATGAATGGGTGAAGCCTGGCGTTGTAAGAAACCTTCGTTGTATCGAATTGCACCAACTGTTTCGCCCATAAGATTTAAAACACGAATGTTTTGGGTATTGGATCCGCTTCAATTCATAACCCATTGGTAAGCAAAAGTATAAAACACATCGTATTAGTCCAGTCACAAATAATCAAAATCATGACATTCAACACTTACCATCCAACAAGTAATCCGTGTTCATGAATGCTAAATCCGTTAATCTCAACATCCGTAATGCCAGCATCAATCTTGAGTGTTCTTGCACGCTGTCGAATGTCCCATAACATAACATCACCATTGGCCGTACCCATAAGAAATTCTTGATGTTGGTATCCAACATAGGCTACTTGCAGTACACGGCTCTGCGATTCCGAAAAGTTTGCTATCATGCATTCTGTAGGTGGAAGTCGACGATCATATAGCTTCACGCTTCCATCAATAAATCCAACTAAAAGCATAATGCCAGAAGGATCAACTGAAACCCCAGTAACCTGGCTAACCGATCTGGTTGGCATTTCCTATACATTATATATCCAAAATACAAAGTTTGTAAAATAATCGGGTTAGATAAATCAAAACAAATCACAGCAATGAAAAACAATCCTACTTACTTGAACACACAACTCTTCTTCAGCATCCCATACTTTGATCACCCGCGAATCACCACCAACAAACAAGTATCCATTACTTTGTTGCCATTTGCAATGCAATCCACTACCTCTTGATCCTGGCAAAATGTCAGAAAGTCCACGCCACGCAGAAACAAGCTCAACTTCTGGCTGATCAAACTTGCGATACAGTCGAATCAAACCATCATCCGATCCCGCCAAGAGCAACGCCACATCCTCTTCATTGATGAACTGCATAGATGTAATGCGGCTGCCTTTAGGGTTATCATTCGAAAACGTATTGACTTTGGTTGATGTTTGCCAGTCGTAAACGCTATTGCATTATACATCGAGTCTGGTTTAGCACAGTGGTGTAATAGTGCACAGGGATTGCTACAATATTATACTTACGAAATCACCTGCTCGTCAGCAGTAACAACAAGTGGCTCATATGAATGAAACATGCTTAAATGAGCGGGTCGATCAGTCTGGACATTACCAATGTGCTCCTCAAATTTCCCAGTAGCTTAATTAAAACATCACAAAATAAACCATTTTAGATTTATAACAGACTAGATGAAACTACACAAATTAAACTAGGTTGGAATCAATAGATTTAAACGCTTACATGAGTAAGTATACAACACATCGGTCTCTCTAATCACTTTGAGATTGCGTTCACGACGCCATTGTCTTTCTATAAACTTGACACTTCCAGGATCATCAACATCAGGAACCTAGTGCAATGCATCATCACAGTAGTATAATCACATGGAAATGAGGTAAGTTGCACTATCAAGTCATGTATAAACAACCGCTTATGCATAATACTTACTCTCATTTGAGGTTCACTAAAATAGGCACAGCTCCATTCATAGAATGTAGATTGGACAGTGATTGCATCTGGATTGGTGCCCATGTCTTCAAGCTCTAGCATCCAGTTTTGCAATTGTGCGGCAAGCAAGGATTCTGTAAAATTGGGTCCTGGCGGCTCACTGACTTGGTGATGTGATGCTTCTGTACTTTGTCGAATAAAGCTAGGTACTGATGTGGTTGGACGTTGAGAGCGACCAACAAGTAAAGGGTCCCTACGCGTCGGATACACACTAGGAGCATGCAGACTAGGAGATCCAACATGTTGAACATTACCAGACTGATTCAATGCACCTCGCATTAGGGTAGATACTCCATTGGTTGATTGTGGAGGCGTAGTTTCAGACTGTGCACCGTAGCTCCCCACCATTAACCCAGCAAGATTTCGCAACGATGTTACAAATGATGTCGAACGTTTAATGGCCTGACTGTTTTGATGCGTGAGTTGCTGCTGGTTATAATGTGACTGTAAACTGGGAGTGCTACCAGATGGAAGCATGCCAGCAATGGATGATGGACGCGGACGATTGACGGAACCGAGCTGGTTTCCTTGTAATAATCTTGAATGGAGTTCATTTTGAACAAGTGTACCAGATCCGTTTGAAAATGATGTACCCAATGTAGTTGATTTTATGTTTGCAGACGAGGCAGGCGATGCAATAGAAGGAGGTGGTGTTGGGGGTTGACGAGCTTGCAATGCAAACTCCCTGTGCGATGGTTGCAGTGGTCCGTGCATGGCAGGAGGCGGAAGTGTGAGCGAATTCGAATCTACAACATTTGATGCAAACATTGCATTCGAAACACTCATAGCACCCAATCCTACACTACTTAAATTAGAGCCAGTCAGATTAATCAAACCATTACCGGCTCCACCAATAGAATCACCAACAGAAAAATTGCTGGAAACAGAGGGTAAAAGCGATTGCAAAACTCGGGGATCACTTGAAGATGTCATAAATAACTGGTAATGGATCTTGTCCACTACCTGCGATGCCAACTGAGCAATGTTTTTTGCTGGATCTACTGAAAGATTCAATAGTGCTTTCCATACTATAGTATAGACAGAGCTATGATTGCCAGCTTTGAGCAATGTATCTTTCAAGTTGAATTTGCCACTCTCGGTATTTTCAGCATCTTTTTGTGGTGCAATCGATGGACCCCTGTATCCAGACAATTTACGCTCATCCAAGGTCGCTGCCGACCGTTTTTTTTCAAATTCGAGTAAATCCTGAGCTACTCTGACAAAATGTGTTATATACTGTTGAGTGAACCTAGAAAGAGCAACTACCAGCTCGAGTCTGACAAGTGCCGATGCATCCAAATGACATTTTAAAATAAACATGGCCATCTTGCGCTCAATCAGTAGTACTGGCTGTGTTTTTTCTAGATCTCCAAAAAGTGTGCCAACAGCGGCCATGGCTGCAGCGCGTACCTCGGTGACTTGATCATTTAGCATGTGTGCTAGCATATCTGGTAGTTTGCGTCCAATAGCAACCCATTTGGCATCAGTGTATCCCTTCCACAACTCAGATAGACACACACATGCCCACTGTCTTAAAAGAGGATCTTTATCTTCTAGATGTGGCACAAGAGCTTGCAAAAGATCCGTTTTCAAACAAGCTTGCTGTCCAAAGCGATAGTTGTGGCAAAATACAGAAAGAATAAATGCACACATGGCCCGATGCTCAGACAGATTGGAGATTTGCGGCATATTGGTATTGTCTGCGGAGAGGATGTTGATGAAATAAGTGTACCCATTGTCCTTGATAAGATCATTTTGACATGATGGATCTACAGCAAGAATTTTAGCCCAAATAAATACAAGAACTGGTTTAAGCTCTCCTGCTGGACTTTGCAGTAATCGCAACACGTAGGGAAAGATGCCAACGGAAAGTGCCAGATTGACTGCCCATTGTCCCAGATCAAGGAATTTGCTCAATAGCATTAAAGCACGAAGACGATGTACTTGACTAAGCAGTACTTGCAGGACAATAGGAAGCTGTTGCGGAGGTTTACGAGATATAGGTCCTTTTCGAAGCCAAACTTCAAAGGCGGATAGCTGTTCGGCAAAAAAGGTACTATACTTGTACTCTGTTTTTTTTACAGGAGTTGTCGAGGTAGATTTAGGATCTGTGGATTCAGCTGGTGCCGCCTCACTTTCCAAAAGAGCAGGTAATTGACGCAAGCATTGGTCTGCAGCCAGATCCCAGGCGTCCCAAATAGGATGGCGATACGTTTCAGGAAGCACTGGACTAGACATGGGATGGCATTTGTAGAACCTCATGATACGATCAGCAAGAAGAAAGTTGCGAAAAAGAGCAGCAACCATAAGATCTTGCCGAAATAGTTTTTGAAACATTGCCGGAGATAATACATTCCATGCGATTGTGTCTGTAATGGCAGTAAAGATCCAGTTGAGTTCGCCTAAAGGAGTACGACGATCAGCCAGTTTTCCAGGAATTTTTAAAATCATGTTCGAGGTGATTTTACTTCCCAGATCGTTGTGCAAGACAAACCAGCGCAATGCAATTTCGATTGGGGTTGTTAGACAGCATGTGAATAAATCTGCAGGGAGATCGGGCGATGTGGGAAGAATCTCGTGAGGCTGACAAGCAGCCAGTTGAATACACTCTTTCAATGGGGTATATGGCGGAGAAGGGGGAGTTAAAGAAGGAGTTTCAGTACTGGCTATACCTGAAGACCCATTTTCAGCTGTAGCGTTTGTACCACTAACAGCCGATCCATTGGCAGCCTCTGCAGATTTCGCGTCGCGCATCATTTCCCAGTCTCGTTGAGTTGCAAACTTGTCGAATGCAACAAGAATATTGCCTGCATTGCTGCAGTCATACACGAAAATACAAGGAGATCCAAGCCATGTTTGAATATCATACACAGAAACAGGAATATATTGAGTGTAGTTTTTGTTGAAGACCCAGATTTCACCGCCCGGTGTAGGCTTAGGAACACCATGTCCATTGTAATGAAACAAGATACGTTCATCCTTTGCATTTCTGCGCAAAGAGCAGCAAAGCTTTTTTGTTTCCTCGATTGAAGGGTCTAATGACAGACGATATCTTGCTCGCGGCTGCCACACCTCGTACTGCTGCTGCAGATTACGACCAATTGCCTCCAATGCCTTTTGGGTTGGGAGAGAAAAAGGATCGATCCAGCATTCCATACGGGCACAAGGATTAGGTTTGACAATATCGGGAGGATCCACGCCGATATTCAAACAGAGGACAAGCGATACCGATACAGTTTTAAGACGATCACGCAGCCGCCATTCTTGAGCTTGAACAGCAGCAAGAGCAGTAGCATCAGTCTTGTGCTGAAGCCTTGTACTCCGGACTACAGGAAGTGTTTCATGACGACGATCTGAAAAGTAAGTGTAAGTGTAGTCGTCGTCCTGCAAATCCGGGTCATAATCGCTCTGATTAGAGCCTTCGGCCAAGGACTGGCCCTGCTGAGGCAGCGGTTGGACTGATTGATGAGTCTGGTCGCTTATTAGAGATGGTTGAACAAGAGAATTTGTAGCAGATACAGAAGTAGTCTGAGTAGTGCTGGTAGCTGTTTGAACTGTAGCAACAACAGAAGGAATATGGGGTTGTTGATGCATTAGAAAAGCAATTGAAACGAATGCTGCTGTCTGATAAGCGCAGGAGAGAGAACTGAATGTCACTATCAATAGAACCTGTTGGCTGCCGCAACAATAGTGTAATTAAAGCAACAACACTATGCTTGGCAAAAGCAGTTGAATAAGTCAATGTCAAGCACAAAACTTGCGTGTGATGTCGAGTCCATTCAAGATTTACATTTATTATAAAATCACACAATCACATCGATCGTACATTTGCTTCATCTTTGGGCACTTTAAGAGTTGTTTGTACAAGTGCTGATTCGTCTGTGTGTCAATCGCATATTCTACAGTTCCGCTGGGCAGTCCCATCGCACGGGATACGAGCGGACACTCTTCCCACATCTGAATAAATCGTTCTATTTTAATCCCCGCTTCTTCAATCCCTATTCCCATGCTTTCAAATGTGTCTTCTACCAATCCATCAACCGTGTGTGCAATATATCCTTGATGGCATGGCGTGTTGTTACACGCTGAAATTCGAGTATCTGAAGAATCCTCTGCCAAATACGATTCAATACTATCATGGGCATCCAATGGTGAATCATCTCCGTTATGCACTACTGGTTTGACAGGTGATTTCTTATCGTGTAATGTCTTGTGTGATCGTATTGTCAAATGCATCGATGCAGTCATGATCTCATCAATAGTCGATCTGAGAAACGCTCGTATGCTATCTCTAGTTATATACGTTGCATCTTGTTCTGCTAAAATTGAAAACATGACTGCATAAATACTAATCATTAGAAACAGTGTCATTGCTTTGTTCAGTCTGATCTATTGGGTCAAGTCTTAAACTTACATTGTGCTTTTTCAATACTACTCGCTCGTGCGCTAAACACAGAAATCAGTCGAATGTATTCTGCAAATCCAATTCCTTCATCATCCACCTTCAAGTGCTGATAGTATCTCTAAACACATGGATTGAAAGTGTGCATACATGACTCCATTAGTGTTTAAATCATTTAAATGCACATCGTTACATATATTCCAATTACCTGGCCTGTGATTTTAAACAGTGGAAACAGTTTTAAAAACAAATCTAGTTTTAGCTTTTGATTTGAGCTGTACGGCCATTGTTGGGCTAATTCGTTACAATAGTGTTTGTGTAGCATACGTATCTCCTTCCCTGTGACTGAATGATCATATATTCGATATCAGTGTTAGTCATTTACAAGACTCTGTTGAAAATAGTATAGCCTTGGGCTGAGATGATGCATAAACTTGTCTCGATACATTAGGTTGTAGTGAATAAACAAGAGCGCACCACATGCATGGAATTTTCCAGCATATCTTTTCAAACTTCAAACCACTTTCTACACAATCTACTGATAAAGGTCCATTTCAAATATCTTACAATGTGAACTTGATACAAGGTCAGAAATGTGTCGTAAAGTAAGCTGTTGAGACTGTGATTTTGTAGTGACACGGTTTTTAGGTTGAACATGGGTCGATTCAGACTGGTATTGGCTTGTATGTCTTGAAAGTACTGGCGCTTCATACGAGTTTTGTATACTTAAAGGGCTGGTAATTTCTCCAGTATATTCGTCGCTACCGCTGCTTTGAGTACCTGGTTGATGTGGGCCATGTGTATAAGTAGATGTTGCGTGAATTTGATTTAATCTCATTATATAGGCGTGTAGGAAGGTAGACGCTGCAATATTGAAATTTTGAATCTGTAAAACTAAAGTCAGGTCGAATTGTTTTACAGCTATATTCACGTAAATATTTTTCTATAAACTTGCTTTGGTATAAAAATACTTTAATATTTGTTGTTATTGACTTTAATCATCATTTGCAATGTCTGGAATGACTCAAACTCTTTAAATCGTCAACAAGATTCAAGAATCGACAATATAGTTTTGTTTTGCAGTATTACTATTAAAGTGCAGCTGTTAAAGTTTAAAAAACAAAATGTCGAGTAAATTTGGTGGAAATCATTCCATAAGACTGGCTGTTTATTTAATGGTCCATTTTATATGAATACCGTGGTAAACCGATCAAGACACATTGTACTATTTAAAATTGATTCTAGAGCAAAAGTGCAACACATACACTCATTAATCCAACAAATCCAGCATTCAGGCTTTTGGCAACTGCAGATGACTTTGAATTTTGTGGTTGGGTGGTAGCGGAGACAGTGGCAGTGGCAGATGTTAAAGTAGTGGAAACGGGAGCTAAAAACGTGGTGTTGGTAGATAGAGCAGACGAGTTTGCAGCAATAGGTCCTTGAGATAAGGGCAGCTCGGCAGCAGTAAATCGTGCAACAGGTTTATTGTTGTCATCATAACACTGAATGTCAATGTACTCGTAAAAAGCAGACACCTTGGCTCGCTCATTGAAGGGGATAGGACCACCTGCCCAACTGCCAACACCGCTTCCATCCCAAACAGAGAATTGAACTCGGGAAGTAGATTCAGGAAACCACGGATCATTGGGACCCATACCTGAAGCCGATGTTTTTGATCGGGATTGGGCACGAGTAATAGAACGAACAACACGACCATCTATTCCCCAATCGACGCGATCATTACGCCAGTCGATAAAAAAGTCGTGAGTAGCATTGGGAGTAATTTTGGCACCAGATGGACCACCATGCATTGCCTTGTAGGGTTCAATGTTGGATGAGTGTCAGAAATAAAGTTTTTCAAATTCAACAGAGCAATTGCATTGTCCAACTATTTGCACAATCATTTAAAAAACTCACCCGCTCAAGAGCCTTGGACTTGACAGTAAACAAATTGTATTGGGGATCAGTAGGATGAGTGCCCACCACTTCCCAATCAATCTCATCCTGAATCATTTCAGAACTGCCTGGAATAGCCTTTTGTCTTTCGGACCAAGTAATCAGTGTTGTGATGGCTCCAGATTCAGCCACTGGTCTAAACCTGCCAGTGATTTTTGCATAGCGCATATACTGTGTAGTCGAGAATCTGGCTCCTTGTGACAGACCTCCAGGCGATGTTGGTTTTTGGAGATTGAGATTGACTCCACCTGGAACATAGTCTACATTACCATAGTCGAGTGTAAGGTCGTATTTGCTACGGTCAACTGTGTACCTCTCAGCTTCAGTTTTCAATGTATATATGCGATCTGGATTGAATACGATCCGTTTGGTAACACATTCACCATAATCAAATCCTGCTGGTGGAGTTTGTTGAGCTAAAACAGTGACAGCTACTGCTGCTATACTCAAAACAAGTGTGTAGACCATTTGTATAACGTAAAAGTAAAAATAAGTTTTAATCAAAATTATAATTATAATAACGGGTGCTGCCGTAATTTATTCCATATTTGGAAACAATAAAACCACAAACGGCGAATTTGCAAGTTGGCAGTGCTGTGATTGGCTTCAGAGTAGCTGTTATCTTGTAGTCTCTTCATTATATGGACATGAACACTTTTATGATTATATCTCAGGACACGTGCATGATTAAATTCAACTCTATTGGTTGTGAGTTCAATGGACTCGAATTAAACTTGCACAAGACATCAAGTTTTGGCATTTTTGATTATAAACAACATCATAGTCCAATGGACCATAGACACAGTATAGCTGCACCAATATATATAGTAGCATGACTCAAAGTTCCTGATATGCCTTTAGTGACGGAATTTGACTGTCCTTGAGTTGACGACTGGCCGTCACGACGATTGCCAGAAAGTGGTGGTACAACAATGGCTGCTTCTGCAGTTGGAAGTCCAGATCCATCTGCTGACCATCTATCAACTGGATGATCGTGATTATCGTAGCATTGAATATCAACCCACTCGAATGGAACCTTGATTGTATTTTCCGAGCCCCATTGGATAGGACCACCGGCCCATTCTCGATTGGTCATTGAACCATCCCAAACAGAGAGCTGAATGCGTGAGGGAGAGTCTGGAAACCAGAATTCATCTTTGGCGAGTGATGCCGGATTAACAGGAAAAGATTGGTTTCGAAGTTGAGTTCGTACGACTTTTCCATCAATGCTCCATTCCACAGAGTCAGACTTCCAGTCAATCGTATATTCATGAGCACCTGTACCTTGAATTGGTGAGGCAATGGGACCACCATGCATGCCCTAATGCAGTTTAAAAACAGATATGATTAAATTTTAATACAGACAGGTATGAGCAACACCGTGTAATTCACTTATTGATGATTGCTTGCTCACCCTTTCCACATCCAATGCCTTGTATGTGAATAGATTCGTCTCGGGAAGCAAAGTATTTCGACCGACGGTTTCCCAATCGATTTCGTCCTGTACAAACTCTTTAGTTATAGGAGCCATTCGATGCATATCAGAGAATGTGATGAATGTAGCCACAACGCCTGGATTTTCAGCAGGATCGAACCGAGCAGTGATCTTGCCATATCGGATATAACGAGTTGTTGACACACGTGTGCCTACAGCAATGGCTTTAGGATCCGATGAAGGTGGAGGACGAGTGAGAACAAAGCTAGCAGAGTTGGGCTGATGAGACCAGTCCACTTGACCATAATCGAGAGTGAAGTTGTATTTGTTGCGATCCACAGTGAACCTGCTGGCTTCAGCGCCGCCAAGATCGATGATTGAGTTTTTATGAAGATCAAGACGACCAGAAATACAGTCACCGACCTTGAAAGTTGGAGGGATGAGAAGACCTGAAGGAGTTGAAGGGATTGTGGATTGCTGAGCATGAACAACGAATGCAAACAAAGTGATGCAATAACATGCCACAAGTGTCCATCGTCTTGTCCATGCAGCCATATGAGTGCTTGGGTTATTGACCATGAAAATGGAATAAGCTTTCTAGCTCAACACAACAAAGACGATTCTTGATATGCAGAGACTCCAACAAGGATGGTCGCTTTGCTTAAAATGCAGCAAGGAAAGTAATTCTATACAATTCAAAAGTATAATGTTCAGCTGTAATGATGCTTTGCAATGCCTTCCTGTGGTGCAAGTCCATGCGAAGGGCAGTGCAAATACGAGTGGAGTTGCTGCCACCCATTCAATGCTGTAAATGTTTCAAATGCTTGCAAGCAAACTAGTTTGAAACTAACATCAAGTCTAGTAACTGAACAATTCCTTCCAACAAGAATAATGGAATTCAACACAACTACACTTTAATAGTAATATTGCAAAACAAAACTATATTGTAAATTCTTGAATCTTGTTGACAATTTAAAGAGTTTGAGTCATTCCAGACATTGAAAATGACTATTAAAGTCAATAACAACAAATATTAAAGTATTTCTATCCCAAAGCAAGTTTATAGAAAAATATTTACGTGAATACGGCTTCAAGTTCGATAGTTTCGGACAACTTTCCTTTTGACGACTCATCTTGCACTAATTGATAAAATCATTCAGCAATGAACAACTCACGATTGGCTAAACGAGAACTGGACAACTCTAGTAAAAATGCTGCCATCGATCCTCGTCATTTTACAGAAGCTCAGCGTCAGGAAATTGTCGAGTCGTTGGCCATGAAGCTTGGTCCTGAGTTCATGTCGCATCGGAGTGGTCCTGGAGGGTGTTAGTGGATTGCTTTGATGATTCTTTACACATGTTTTACTACTCAATCCAACTAACGCTCTGAATACGTCATTCATCTTGACTGTCTGTTCAATCAACTATTCATTGCTCGATCTTGGATCAATATGCTCACTATTAAACTGTAAATCAACTTGATAAGCCAAACTCACATATTTAGAGGGTTGGAAATCAATCAACCTTGCCAATGACATTTTTGGTTTTGATGGCTGGTCATCTTCTGTGATTGATCAAACAGTGGATTTTGTAAGTACTGTCAATACACTTGCTGTTCAACTACTCTTGCGTTGTCCACAACCCGATTTGCTTCTTCAGGCGCTAAATCTGTCTTCATTTAAACTTAATTTAATTTGATCATTTGAATAGCTTGATAACGATAATGGAAAGTATAGTCTTGGTGTTTCAGCTATTGTTCGAGTCACTCTTAAAGATGGTACTTTTCATGAAGATGTCGGATATGGAAGCATTGAAAACTCACGTTCCAAGATTGCTGCGTTTGAAAAGGTGTCGTTTTAAATAGTCTATTGCATCAAGTTTTGGATTGAATGCTGATCTATTGGAATTACTTGACAGGCAAAAAAAGAAGCAGTTACAGACTCGCTTAAGCGTGCTTTGCGATGTTTTGGAAACAGTCTAGGAAACTGTTTCTATGATAAAAACTACATGAAAAAACTATCCAAACTACCTGTCCCAAAGGTACGAGATTGGTTCCAAAATTAAAATCAAAAACAGTCTACTAAATCTGTATTGTTGTACAGCAAAAACCAGTGACTGTAGCTGATTTGTATCGCCACAACGACTTTTTGATTGACACACCAGGCCATCCTGCAAAAGAAGCTCCGCCAATTGAAACAGATCAAGTCAAACAAGGGACCAACATGCCTATTGCCAATCTAAAGATAACTCCCCCAACAAAAGATCCGCTTGGATCTAACGTGGCTAGCTCAGGACCTACTTCTATCAATGCCATGAAATCAAATGAAGCGGTACATGGTAATACAACAAATAAAGTTACTACCAACACTCTCGAGTTGGATCAGCTCGACGATGAGATGGATGATGACGGTTAGCAAAACATGTATTCATGCATTGTGGATCTGCTTTACTAGACTAATCATCGCTATTATTAAATTAACTCTAGACGATCTCTTTTTAATGGCGGCCGATTTGGAATACATTGATTCAAATTTTTTGACTGGTATGCCAACCAAATATTTAATGGATTCCATTTGTATTAGACTCTGGATTCCCATTTAGTAATCACGAGTCTTGCTGCATATTATCTTGAATTATGATAGATACAAATATGTCTCCGCATCACATGAATATAATGAATCAAGGAAATGGAGCTGAAAATCTACCTATAAATCAGTCAAACCACGGATTCCATCTAGGACAACAGTCGCATGGACAACCTGACTTCAACTTTGCAGCACAACAACAAGGCATCCATCAAAGTTTGAATGGGAATCCTAATCATGGTTACGTTTTTGATCGCAACTTGAACAGTAGCACACATCAATCCAACGCAGTTCAAAATATGAATGGGTCATTTATGGCTGCAAGTCAATATTATCCTGGAGGTGTTACAAACAGTAACAACAACAATTACCATGCTATAGTGGCCAATCGACCACCACTGAATCCTAATACGATAACAAACCCGTCTGCATTCAAGTGGCCAGCAGTACCACAAAATAACGCTACTATTAATCAATCGCCGTCTCCAGCTCAACCGCGTTCATCTGTTCAATTACCTATTCGACCAAATGGTTTGCGAATGGGAACCATGCCCAGATTGGCACCTTCTGCTTTGCAATCGTCCTCTGTTTCGGATACAGCTACAGGGTCACTCAAACGGTAGGTTATGATTTGTATACGTTTACAATAGTGATTGTTTATTGAGTTTTTTATGGATTAGAAGCAAGCTGAACTTTGGTGCAGGCACGGGATCAAACTCTTTTGACACTTTTATATCAAATGAAAGTAACCAAGTAGCGAAATCAGGTTAAAAAGAGTGCGAGATATGGAGGACTAGATTTGAATTTGGGATTAGTCATAAACATACAAATAAAAATGGATCGGAATGATGGTGCGCACAGTGTTTAAATGAACAAATATTTGCTGCATTTTTGTCAGAAACCGACTTGAATGAACACAATTGTACACTTTGAGCTTAAACGAGTGTCCAGTCAACTCATGAATTATGAAATTGGCGGTTGATTGAATATTAACACTTTATCATTTTACGTGAATACGACAGTGACAAGATCATGTCTGATAATGTTGTTCATGCACTTGCAGGAAAGTTGTATTTATTCACTGCTGCTTGCTATCAATCGATATACAGCTAGAAAACGTCTACTTTTACATTGCTGCAAACCCATTCAATCCTAGTCTGGCCAGGGCTATATGCTGCATGGTATCAACAAAAAGGGTTTTTAAAGCCAGTCTAATTTGACTGTAACTGTAATGCTTTCTACATTGTCGACTGCTTTGGCTAATAATTTAGTAATGTAAATCTACTTTGGCATGCCAATAGGTGCGGGAGGTGGTATGATTAGGTAGGATTACTGCAGATCTCCAGGCATTCACCGACAACTATCAATGCGGTTTCTTACCGTTCATGTGTCCTAAATCTTTTTGTTGAACCATCACCTAACTGCTATAAACACTTGACTATATTTTAGCATGGCCCTCACCTATCCATTGGTAACTGCTTCCACTCGTTCTCAAGTATCCAAAACTGCGCGTGTTGGCCAATGTGAAGCTTTTGTAAAGATCTTGAAAGAGGAAGGCGTTCGTGGTCTTTATTCGTAAGGTTTAATCTCGACTCTTTTCACAGGCTTCATTCTGGATTGTCAATTATATATTGGTCTAGGAATTTGTTTTAATTATGTTTAAATGCATTTGATTTTCAGTGGTCTCAATTCTGCCATGCTTGGTATTGCCGTGACACAATATGTCTATTACTATTGGTACGAGTTTGTCAAGGCCAAGTTTGAAGGTGTTGGTGCAGCTCAACGCGCTCTCTCGATTGCAGAAAATATGCTGGCTGGTGCAATTGCAGGTAAATTGGAGTTTTGGATTCCTTTTTCAATTGCATGTGCTTCAAAACAAAGATTTAAAGCAAATTGCTACATGAATTGATCGACTTTGCTAAATATGGTTTGAATTGTGATGCAAACTGTAGGTGCAGCCACTGCGTCCATCACCAATCCGATCTGGGTTATCAACACCCGTCTCCTTGTGAACAAGGAAAGCATGGAGGATTCGAGCAAGCCTGTAAAACGTCTTAGTACCTTTCAAGCAGCATGCAAAATCTTCAAGGAAGAAGGGATTCAAGGCTTTTTTCGCGGACTTCTCCCAGCGCTTGTATTGGTCATTAACCCAGTGATACAATTCACTGTCTACGAGCGATTGCGTGTGTGGTGGGAAAAACGAGTTGCTCGGACACTCAATGCATTTGATTTTTTTGTTTTGGGAGCATTGAGTAAACTATGTGCAACAAGCATCACCTATCCATACATTGTGGTCAAGTCGCGTATGCAACTCAAGGAAGGCAATGATGAACAGTCAAGGTACAAATCAGTTGGAGATGGAATCAGCAAGATCATCAAGACTGAGGGGTTTAAAGGACTATACAAAGGTATCGAGGCAAAGCTGCTACAAAGTGTGTTGTCTGCAGCATTTACATTTGCATTCAAAGAAGAACTGTTCAATGGAGCCATGGCATTGTTGGTACTGCTAAGACTGAAACAAGCCAAAGCAGCTCAGTGATTTTAATAAACATCAAGAGTTGTAATACAGTCTCAAGTGACAGATAAACAGTGTGTTGGTTTCCTAGACATGTAAAAATTCATTGAATATATCGTGTCTTAAACATGTACTGATTATTGCAATTTTTTAAAACTATACTCGACAATTCAGATTGTATAACCATCAAGCATGTTTTGTTTTTACTGATATAACGTATAATTGTTGGAGTGCGTTGATGTGAAAGAGACTGGATGATACGATTAAATATCGCTGATTACTTGGTTGTTGGTGCACATCATTGATCGTAATGCAGTCATCAATATTGGTCAATAAAATGCCATTTATTCAACATTTATACACATCCAATCAATCATGCAATAGCTATCAGAATAATCACCAGCACTGCCAAACCAATATGCTTCAGTCTGTTTGTTAATACAAATCAATGCAAACGGATCTGTGTATATACCATGCATGGTAATTGAATGCCAATGCACCACTCGAATTCAATTCAATCCATATCGATTTTATTGTTTGAAATGTTGAATGTTATGATAGATTCAACATTCCCAGTCCAGTTTTACCATTTTGAAACCTGAACTATGACGGACACTCTGTCATACATTGAACACCAAGATTACTGTTGTAAATGCCATCATATTCGATTGTTCAAAAACTGTGGTCGATGTTTGGTACCACAATAAACCCATTGCTAGAAATAAACTTGATGTTGAGCCGTGTCCGATCAGTTCTTGGGATATAGTCACATTGATACAGCCGATACTAACATATCAGCCATGTTAATCATGTTAACCTGTTGCATGCATATGATCACTCGCAAGATTATTTGACTATCAATGTCAATGACGTGTCGGACATACTATCCAATGGTCTCAATATACATAGTTTGTAGTTGGACACAATCGGTATTCGTATACACATGTTGTAGTTGTATGCATTGCACTCGCCGAGTTGTGCATTTGTGGATTTGTTTGATGCAACTGTTGATATTGATTGGGACGACAATCGACGATCGATGTTTCTGGTTGTGGTTGTAGTGTATGCTATATCACCAGATGTCATGCTATGTGATCATACTGCATACATTACACTAGACAGTGGACTACATGCAAATGATTGATACTGATCATTGCAAGTACACAACAATGTGACAAATGACTGTCAAATCAAATATGGCTGATATGTTGAATTATGGACAGATTTGTTGTATATACTGGATGTGAATGTTGATGTGAATACGAAACCTCGGCTGATACATATTGTATCATTCAAGACCAAAACAATGTAATGTGACGTTCAATGTCAGTTTGTAGCATGTCAATGGAATATGTGCAAATATTAAACATGGATTTGTGGATACTATCAGATTGTCAGATTGTCAAAACCAGCCAAATCATTCGTATCAAATAGTATAGTGATACCAATGAGTTGGTGTCAAATGTAATGGATTGATTGGTAACCCTAAATGACAAATATACACGGTCGCGTGGATCCATAAATGACATTGCAATGATTAATACAATACAATACAATGCATAGTGGTTGATTGGTGCAATATGATCAAGTCATTAGTCTAATACACATGGTTTGGCAATAAAAGGTGTTTATTGAATGAATGGCATTGGATGCATGACAAATCAAAAGTAAACCAACATGCAATACACGCTGCATTACAACATATCCTGGATGAGATTGTTGATAACCCACTGAGCTGCAACAATGTGACGAGTTTGATTTAAACGTTTGTTGCCGAGTACCAGAATCTTGGAAAGTTGCACCATGCTCAGATTATAGTAATCACTTTGATAAGCGATCAAGGAAATAACCCAAGCATTTCTCGAATGAAGGATGCTCCATCAAACTCATCACTTCTGAATTATCCCCTGATGATCCAGGTATATATAGTTTTGGGTCTTTCTCCTTGAGTACCTCTCTTAATGTTGCGTTTTCCCCAATTAGCTCGAAATAGCGTTCAAAAAGTTCACGCATCTCTTTTTCAAGTTCGCTAAGAATGCCATTTGCTATAACAAGATCAGCTTCGAACTCGATGATTTCCAACATTGGACCTGAGTTTTTACGCAGAGCATCAATTTTTTCCTGCAGTTCATCAACCACTTGTTGTTGAGCACTCTCTTCATGATTTTTTTTGCTGGATTCTTCAGCTAATTCTTGAAGTTTATGTCGATTTAATGCGAATTCTTCGATCAAAAACATTCCACCAGCATTGAATGGAGAGCAATATGCCTCAAGTTCACTGTATGGTTTAGGAAATTTCGAATATTCAGATCCACTGGCTGAAGCTCCGCTTGTAGAGGCTGTCGAAGTGCTAGCCTCAGCACTCATTGTATAAGTACTAGCTTCAGTGCTTGTGGTCGAAGTGCTAGCCTCAGTACTCATGGTCGAACTCGGATCGACTGGATTGGCGATCGTGACCGAGCAGACAGCAAGGATCGATGACAGTACAGCAATTGATAGTTTCATTGTATTGGTTGGTTGAACAAGTTGTAATGATTGTCATTCAACACGTCGGTTTGGTGCCGTATTTATACCCGTTATCGATCGAGCGATATTAAAGCATTCTCCCCGAATGGCCGCTCTAAGGGATTGGCTTTATTATCAGGGTTAACATTGGCTCATTGCAATCAACGTCAGTGCGGCTTTGAAAGGATATTCCTTTATACAATCGCTTTGAAGTGATCGAGATATTCATGTTGAGAATAAGCAGTCAGATTATAGAGACTAAGGAGTAAGAATCCGGCTATTTATTTAATAAAAGGTAGTATTGATTTTTTATAGTTGATATGGTATTCGCTATTATGTAGCAAGCTCTACATAGTCTGTTATGGTGCCAATCTTACTGGCAACAATGTGTCCTTTGACAAAATCCATTGGTCTCCATGCTCGTTCTTGTACAAAAATATAGACCGAGTGTTCACATCAGTCAATCCTACATCCTCGACACCTTTTCAACTCCAAATTTTATTTTTTTAAATCAAGCATTTCAAGTAAACATTGAATGATCGGTATGGAAACAGCTGTTGCATTCCTGAAATATATTGAACTAGAGTGCAAACGTATCTGATATTAGAATACAAGAGTTTCTTCAATGCCATGGCCGTGTCAGATATGCCTTGGCTGTGTGTAAAGCCAACGTATCCAATGACGAAACAATGCATGAACGTGGCTTGTGAATGGTAGTCGCTCTGCGTTGTTTCCCATTCAACTTTTCCAGCCTTGTTCTCTCTCCTTGCAATTCGTATGTCCTCAAAGTCTTTGTCGCTTTTGCCTCGATGTCCAAGGTTAGCAACTCTATAAATGACTATTATTTCCAAGTGTTGTTTTCCATCTGTCTTATCTACAAGGTCCGTTGAAATATCCTTTCAAAAGCACTTGAAATACAGTCGAGAATGTTGCTAGGCGCTCAAAAATTGTAGCTGAATTGCAAGTTTTTGCTGTTATAGAATTGATGAGTGTGTTGTAGCCATTATCAAACGTGTACCACTCTAGACGATGACGAGCGCCATAAGCTCAAGCCTTTTCGATATACTCGTTATACAAGAGGTTGAAATGAATGGATGACTTTACTCCTCACTCGATATAAAGTCCTACAACGCAGCATTCTGGTTTGTTTGGGTTCATTCCAAAAACATGTGGTTTCCTATATTGGAGTGTGATCGAATTCCGATTGTCCCAGTTTCTCATTCAGATAACAAACTCTTTTCATGGTATAAAAAACTTGAAAGTCATCAATTGTCAAAGTTCCAGAAACTATTCGTGTGCCAATGGTGTTTTCAACTCTTGTTTTGTCAGACTTGTTCCAACTTCAAATTTGGAAAGTTTAAAGTTTTCAAGCAAGTAATGTTTTTAAAAAGTTGAAAAAGATTGATAATCTGTATTGTCCAACATTACGTGGAGATTGTACAATGTATGGCTATACAAACAGAGGTGAAAGAGTACAGTCCAAAAACAACATTTCAGTTCAAAACTATAGTCTAATAATGTGTGTTTCATATGACGATCAATGTGTTGGGAGATTGATCAAGGCAGCAGTGAATGCTGTAATATTAACTTGTTAAACAATGACATGCAACATTCCCAAACGGTTCCAAACGGTCACTTTATTCTAGACAACATTCCATTCCACAAAACAACTCTAATTAGACATGGTTTACCAACTATTCAACAAACAGCGCGAGGTTTGGAACTACACTATACAGCATCATACTGTCCATTCTTGAACCCTGCTGACAATTACTTTGGTGTTTGGAATGACTGTGTGTGCTGAGCCATTCCAGACACCAAACAACTTGTAGCTTCAATAAAACAAATAATCCATTTCCAACAACAAAAACAATGAATATGTAACGATTGTTTATTCCAAGACAATCATTACAAGATCAATACAGAAAAGTATTTGATTTTACGTGAATACGACTGTAAAATAAACTTGGGTGTTAAACCACAAGATTATCTCATGCAAGCAAACCATACGAGTGTATTTTGGCAGTGCTACAAGTTTGTTGACCAACTCATGTATGGCGGTACCAACAGAAACTCGACTGATCGAACATCTATGTATACACATTGTTGTCAGTTGCATCGAGTGTTTGTCCAAATAGGTCGATTCAAATGGGTTGCATATAACTGACTAATCCAGCATTCATACATTGTCAAACAACCATAATGCACAATACCACCAAGTGTGCAATCACACTCGCACTGATCAGTCGTTGCACAGTATGCATCAGTCAATGTCAAACATATGTGTGTATGCAACTAAATTGCAGTCCATGACACATCCACACGATCCAACATGACAAATCATGTATTGTGAGTCCAAAGTTGATCAAAAACCTGATCATGGTAAACACAGCATGTTGTTGCATATCAGACTCGATATATCGAGTGACAGTTGCACACTGGCTGATGGTGCACAGCGTATCAGTCACAATACATGCACGGTATTGCATTGCAGTCATTGGATGATAACTGGTTGCAATGTGATACCGATCGACATACATCAGCATGGTGTGATGTGACCATAATCATGGTGGAATGCGTTGGAGTTGACAATCGATACACCATGCACATGACTGGAACATATATATTCGAGTATGGTTTGGTTGATTTCAGGTTGATCATGCAATCACATCGGTGCAACGAGTGAGTGAGCTGATGGTGATCTGAACCCATTTCAACAACAAGGAGTTGACAGTCATGGATTTGCATGCATTCAATATGTGTAGCACACCGTTGTTGATTGTTGACTGTGTATGCAGGTCAAGTTACCACCAACCAACAACCACATCCAGTGCATACATGACCATTCCTAGAATGACTGCCAAGAATATTCGCATCCAAAAGTTGATTGTGAGTTGGTGGTTTGCAAGAATTGAACACAACCAACATGCTATTGGATACAGCAACCTGATTATAGTCCAGTCGCATGGTGTGATACAGTGGTTGTGGAATACAACATCCAGATATTTGTAGTGTTGAACACGACGAATCTGTTGTTCGTGTAGCATCATATCAATTGGTAATTCGGAATCAAAGTGCTGTAACCATGGAAACTGAGTATGTTGCATTTGACTACACCAAAACTTGTTCGACATTGTTCCATCTATCGTGCAAGTACACCAGATACAAACTGGAGCAACTGATCAGAGTCAACAAATATCACGATATTGTCAGCATACATGAACCCTCACATTGGTGGTGATTTACACGATACTCATGCAATGACAATCGGTTGATATCATCGTGTATGTTGTTGATGAACACGTTGAACAACAATCCGACAGTGGACATCACCATCGGACTCCATGCTCAAATGGAAATGGGTTAGAAACCAATGATCCAGTCTGAGCACAAGCTGATGAGCATGTGTGCAGCGATGTTAGCAAGACCAGTGTGCGTGGTATCAATCACATATGTTGCAGTTATCATATCAAGGCACCAACCGTGACAGTGTCGAATGCATTTTGAATGTCAATCAACACAACAATAATATTGGGCTACACGCACTGCTGTTGTTGAACAATATCAACTAGTGAACCAACTTACACAACACACTTGTTTGGTTTGAAATCGACCATGCTTGGTGGTGACGAGTTTGTTGAGCACCACGATCCATCAATGTGTGTTTGCAAGACCTTGCATACCAGTTTATGACACACATCAATCAGTGTAATACCGTGTTTGTCATTTGTATCAATGTGATCACCGTTATTCTTGTCGATATATGCAGTCAGTACAATCGGTACAGTGTATGCAGACTGCCATCAGGTCGCATAATGGCCGTCAACATATTGACTGAACTGTGTGTAGCAGAACGAGCAAATGGATTGGGTGGTTCATCAGGTGTATCATTTGGTGTATATAATGCGACTCGACAGAATGTGACCAATATCCTGTTGTTTTCCGGGTGTCTGGTGTGGACCAGCTGCTGTATCATATCAGCTAGTCGATTTCAAGATATATCCGAGTCGAGATCAGTTGCATCGTCACGAATTGGAACAGTTTGTATGGTGGAAGTGAATCACGTATATGCAAGTACTGACATTACTGCAAGTCAAGTAAATGTCCACTATCATCCATAGCAAGACACAAGTAGTGATTACTCGGTATGTCAAAAATAATATCACTGCTGTACTGAATGATACGATTGGCATCACATCGTATAGTGGAATGGAATGAAATGAAATGGAGTGATGGCTGTTGTGTGTGTTGCACCACCAGACATGACTCGAGCTGCTGCAAATGTCATATCAAAACGATCATCAATACTGTCTGGTCAAGTGTGTCAGCAAACTTGATCCAGATCATATGTTCATTGGCGCATTCAAGTCGCTGGATTGTTGCATTGTGTTTGTCCCAGAATGCACCTAGTTGACTGCGACAGAGTTCATTGTGATTGTCACGGATACTTGCTGTAATGTACATCAATATTCCAGTGTTACCATGTCAAGTTGTCCGTTTGGTTGAGCGATACAGTCGACGTTTATGTTCTCGAGCAGTATGTGAATGTGCGTGCAGTTGACAGTCATTCACTGTTGCATTGGCAGCATCCAATAACTGAATGCATAGCTCGTGTGTGTCCGTGTATGATCCATCAAACGCTGCATATATTCCACCAATCGTGAACATTGCAATCCGATCATAGGCATATATGCAGAGTTGTGATATGTTAGTTGAATGAGTGGAATGGACTGAATGAGTTGGTGCATGTGTATTAGTGCGGATGCAAGTGTAAATGACACATCGTCAACAACCGCAATGTTCATGTCTACACAAGCAGATTCTACAAGTGTTTGTTCAGTCTCGTCACACACAAAGTGATCGATAGAGTGTCAATGACATGCAGTCCTGCTCACTCGAGTGATGTTACTGTCTGCATAGTGCCAACATACTGCATGACAGTCAAACGCAGTATTCATGCGTGTATGATGCGTTGTAATGACACATATTCAGTGTTCCAATCTGCAAACAGTAGCACTGATGAGTGATCGTCAAACGGAATAACTGCTGACAGAACATGTTGAATGGCAGACAAGACATTTCGCGTTTGATGGTCGCATGCAGCCGAGTGTCCAATGTACACAGCCAACAGTCCAAACACATTCAGGTGTAAAGTTTGGAATGTTTGCGACAATTATGGTGTCATAAACAGTCATTTTGCAAATCCAAACCATTTGTCAATACCGAATGGTGTCTCGATGTTCGGGAACAGTTGCCGAGTGTTGCAATACATTGAAACCACACACTGTGTGCTTGAAACTGTCCGTTGTAATGCAAGTCTCGGATAATCCACATAGTCGGTTTGGCTGAATATATATCAAAGTAGTGAGTGTTTGCTGGCAATGTTTGACACATTGACTGACAATATTTGACAACAATTAGGAAGTGGTGGAACACACAATGAGGATGTCGTTGGATGCCTGCGTTGACAGTTTTTGTGTATGTGTCAGTTGTTGTACGGATGATTGGTGACAGAGTTGATGGATAGTGTGTGCGGAACATGACTCTGGCACAGTAATGCGGACTCGTGCACCGAGTTGAGTTGTCCAGCAATCGATTTTGGAAATGTGTTTGATGTGATGGTTTGAGATGGATGCCAAATGACCAAGAATGTTACCAATTGTCATGACAGTTGATTGTTGATTCAAAACGTTGTTTGTTTGGTATTAATGGTTAGAGTGTCACTCATTGACCTGTCAGATCAGCAAGTGTTATTTCGGTGAGTTTCGTGTTTATTGTAGTCACATCAACATCAGCAGATTGCACTACGGATTTGCTTGACAGAGTTGCAGATCCAGTTGGATTGATAGGCGAACAACTGTGCAAACAACTGTGCGAGTTGCAGGATGTTTGAGATCCAACAAAACACTGCTTGCACACAAGTTCATGAATGCAGATTGTCAGACTTGACCATCAACTCGCAGTATAAATTGCATGTACAACAGTTTACACGCTTACCCATCAACAATAAACCCACATAATCAGCAAACTGTCAACGAGCAGCCAGCTCAGTGGTCGGGTTGATGTTTTTTGTTGGAATTTCTGGATCAAACTTGACCTGATTTGTACCGAGTTGTGTCATGACTACAAGATTATGCGACAGTTTCTGAATACGTTCTTTACGAATCAAACGACGTTGTTTGTACATCAATGCCGAGTCTTGTTTGGCTTGAGTGGTAGCATCTGTAGATGGTACTTCTGTTCCCGAGTTGATTGTAGAAGAGTTGGAGTCAGTGGTCAAGTCATTAGATTTGGATGGATCTTTTGCAGCCATGACGTCTTTAAAATCCCGAGCAATGGATATTTCACCAATGATATCAACAAACATATCACCACCAAACTGTTGTCTGAAGAATTGTTCTGGATCGACAAACACAGATCCTTCAGAACCCACTGCAGCAGCCTTTCCATGAATATTATAAAATGAACGACGCTGTGGATCCGACAAGACTAAAATTTAAACATTAGTATAGTTTTTCTGGATACACAAGAACCATCAAGTCTGTACCTTGATAAGCTTCAGATATTTGTTTAAACATTTCTTCAGCCAATGGATTGTCCAAGTTTTTATCAGGATGACACTTTATAGCCTTGAGATAATACGCCTTTTTGATGACAGCACTAGACGCCGTAGCAGGAATCTCCAACAAATCATAATATTCCATATCGATTGGATGGTCATCTAAATCAATCATGAAATTAGAAGACAAGAATCATCCTTTTTCAAAGGTTTTACAATTACCTGAACCGGTTTTTCCAAGAGTAGTTTTTGGTCTGCGACTGGAAGCATTGTTGGTAGATTGGTCCGAGGCATTTGTAGTTTTTTTAGCAGAAACAGATAGAGTCTGTTGAACAGCAGAAGTTGGAATAGAACAAGTCTCTACAAGAAAATCAAACCACTCTATAAACAGAAAAGGCATAAGCTGGAGTAACAGGAAGATAGAATTCAATGACTACAGAACAGTTTGGACACTTTGCAGTGACAGAAGGTTTTGGTCTCCTCGATTCAATAACAGGAATATGAGTTGAATCGCTCATGTTATCAACAACCAAATCTCAGCAAATGCAAAATGGAACACTTGTGTTGGGTTGCGATTTCCTTGATATTGTTGGAATTGCAGGCTTACAAACTCATTTTTATTAGAATGTCAGCAAGAGTTGTTGCACAATACAAAACTGCATCTCGCGATATTATTGTTGAACGGTTTAAACCAGATTCAATAGTAAATGTGTCGTTTTGTTGATTCAAAAATGTATATTTCGTAAATGAAACTCATCTTCAATTGTCTGATTTACAAGTTGGTTTTGGAATACTTGAAATAGTACCGCAGTATGTATTGAACAGTGGAAAATGTAAAAAACAATAGTAGTATAGATAGGGCACTGAATGATACTACTTTTCTTGGTAGATGCTCTCTGCTAAAAGTTGTTCAAAGTGTCTGGAGTTGATCTCGCCTGTGACAGGTGATTTATGCTAAAATGCCATGGACAATCAATGCCAAATATAATGGTCAAGACTCGGTGCTTTATTCATACAAATAATTGTCTAATTCATTCCAACCCAAATGTACTATCTCAAGTACTTTCAACCAGACTAAGGAGCAAGTTTGTTTCTTCCATTCGAGCAACAGGGGAGCAATTTCGTGTAGAGAAGCCAAAGTCAATGATATATGGATTCCCAGATTCATCAATCAAGATATTCTCCTTTTTGATATCGTTATGTAGAATACCGGCCTCGTGAATGCTTTCGAGTGTTTCCAACAACTTCTGCTTTTGCTGTTCAGTGAATCCATTGGCCACCGTACCACAGATAGAAACACCTACACAGTACAGAACGTCCTCCACAAACCCATGACAAACGAATCTAGGTATGCCATTCCCTTGTAGCCCCGATAGCTGTTCATACACAGAAACCTCATTCAGCAATTCTGGAAGCATTTCTCCGTGCTTGGCAATATCAGCAACCTTGAGAGCAATACGGCTAGATCCATAGTAATCCAAATACACTTTGCTTCTTCCTTCACCAAGAACTGTATCAAATTTGAAATCATCAACATCAAAGTCTTGGGGTTGCTCGTTGATTTGAATTCCAGACGACAAAGAACTGCATCCTCTGGAGAGACTAGCACGCGGAGATACTCTACTACTACTTGGTCGAGAGATTTGGGTAGCAGAACTAGCTCTAGACGGACGCTTTGATGCGGGGGGAGAATCCATATGATTGTGATTGACGATGCTGTTGAAATACGATAAGCATTGTTGAACAGTGGGAGTTTGAGCAGTAAAGGAGATTCCCTCGGAAACATACAAAGTTTCATGACCTTGAGGTTCTTCACAAACGGCACATTCTTGATTTCGATGAACAAACCAGGTGTTTTCGTATGACGACAGAATCCCATATTGCCTGTGGTTCAATCGCATATAGTGGTAGAGTTGGTCAAGAGCAGACGCACGTGTCCTTTCTGTGTCGTATGAGTTGACGATATCACTGATAGGCAAGGTCCAATTGCCCTTTTCTTCAACAATGGCAACAATCTCTCCATCTCTAGTCATTAAATGATCTGGTTCCCCTACGCAGCTTGTGATTTGACGTCGTGCCTTGAATTCAGAAGGAGGAATGAAACACTTGGCAGAGATATTGAGCAAATTGAGCTTGATGAAGGGTTGAAGACTTTGAACTTCTTCGGTGATGATAATTCCAGGAACAAACACAGGTCTTTGTACTCTTTGAGAATGCTGATGATGATTAGCACCAATCCAATCAACAACGCTTTGCTTAAAATCAGACCACAGGAAAACATGTGTCGG